CACCCTCTTCTAGTTTGGATGACGTTTTTTCCAAAATGAGGGATTTTGGCTAAATTTCTCATTCCAAAAATCTAGACTTTCTATATATGAAATTTCAATCATGGTTTGTGAAACCGTATCGAAAGTCATAACTGATTTGTTTGTGGTACAATCGTGGTTCAACCATTTTGTATCGATAAAATAATAATTCTGAAATAATAAACATTTTTTTGCCAAAAAAATCCTACTGGAGAAAATATGATTCCATGCTGAAGTAATACCAGATTATGCGGGAATATTACAGTTAGTAAATAGTAAAAGGAAAAGGATTGGGTACAAAATTCTCTACTACAAAACTGAATCTAGATCACTCCATTTAAATCATATATAACGTTTCAAAATAATTTAAAAAATGTAGGAGAGGTAGCCTGGTAATTTTTCATCATCTGTCTTCTTTGTCTTATACTAACATGGATGCAAAGGAGAGAAAATACACTTTTCTAATTTCATATATTTTTTAATCGGATCATATCTCATTCGTTTTAGCTTAAAATTTTAAAACATTTTCACAGAATGATGTGTTAATTTATATCTATACTATGATATCCAGTTTGATATTTTTTAGCAAAAGAAAAAAAAAGCTCTTTAAAACACATGTTGGTTGTAGTGTTATCACTGTCATATTATGATCTTAGGACTATCATAAATTTGACTACATATTATAACACTATAATATAAGGATATTATTTCAATGGTATAATGATAATATCATTATGAGAGTGATATGATATCATCAAATTATTTTCTCAAACATAAGACTTCATACAGGAAAATTGGTGTTAGCTTTTTTTTTTTTTGCCATAGATATTCCAACCGGAACAACAAGATATGAGTATATACAAAATTCGACCAAAAGTCAAAAACTAAAAAACAAGCAAGGGACGCCTGTCAACCAGAAGTCGAACCCGCGATAAGAGGGCATCTTTCGCCACGATATGGGCAACCCTATTGTACCTCCGAGGTTCGAAATGGAACGAGATACGTTGAAACGAGGCACTGAGGACGAGCACCTCATTTATGATGGCTCCCCCCAACCCGTGTGACGTATCCTTCGCGTTGACCATCCGAATGACCACCTGCGCATCACCACAGAACGTCACATTAGTTAGTGAATGATTGAGACACCAACGTAATGCATCGCGCAAAGCCATGAGTTCAACAATGAAAGGGTCGAAGATGAAGTCATAAAACCGTCCAAATGCAACCGAAATGGCGCCTCCTGGACCAAACCCCAGAAAACCAATTCCTACACCTACTGTAGCCTTAGTGGCCCCATCAAAATGAACTAAAATTCCATTCGCAGGGCACGAAGGTGGAGAGGTAGCATCGCCAGCAGTTCCTGGACCAATTGGACTGCCCGCCCGCCGAGTCGATGAACTGTTCTGCACGAAATCCCATTATGCCAGCTGTGAGTCGAACTGTCGCACTAGGGTGGAAGGGAGAAACACCATCAGATCATAAGCCGCCCAACACCGCCCTTTCCAAATACGCTAGAACATGAATACTAGTCGAGTAATTGCTTGAGCCGTCAAACCTGCATAAAAAAAGAGCCACCTCCAACCAATCGCAATATGGCCACTACGTAAGTGAGAAAGAATGTGGCCCAAGTCCAGTAAATTCCAGACCGCCTCGGCCAACCTACACTCAAAGAAGCAGTGAGATAAGGTCTCAGGAGCGGATAAACAAATGGGACACAAAACCCCTTCCTCGTCATCTTCGGGGATTATTTCTTTGTCACGAAGAATGACACGAACAGGTAGGAACCCATGGACTAGCCTCCACAGAAAGAAACGGAGCTTTGGGGGCACTTTCAGAGACCACAAGTAATTCCAAGCCTTAGTATCAAATATAATTGGAGTAGTGGAGGGGTTAGCAATGAAATCAGCAGATGCAAGATGGTATCCAGATTTGACAGAATACTCACCCGTAGTCTCATAATGCCAAACTAGCCGGTCAGAAACTGGAAACCTTGGGAGCGGAATGCTGCAAATGACACGCACCGTGGCAGCATCAAATAAATTGTATAGCAAATCTAAGTTCCAAGAGCCAGTACCTTGAACGATGAGGGAAGAAACGAAAGGAAAAGGCGGAACGACATTAGGAAGAAGTTGAGGCCGGGACGGAGGAGTCGTGGGTAACCAAACATCATCGGTAATACGCACTGATGTCCCGGAACCGATACGCCAGCGCAACCCTTTTAACAGCAAGTGCCTACCAGCAAGGATTCCCTGCCATGCCCAAGAAGGGCGGGAACCCAGCGAAGCAAGGAGGAAAGTGGTATGGGGGAAGTACCGACACTTGTACGTTGTAGCAAGAAGACCATCCGGCTCCTGAATGATTCGCCATGCTTGTTTAGCTAACAGTGCCAAATTGTTGCTATCAAAGTCCCGAAAACCCAAACCACCATTGCATTTGGGTCTGCAGAGAGAACGCCAAGATGTCCACTGCATACCTGAATCCCGGTCCTGTTGAGCCCACCAAAAGCGAGACAAGTGACCATTCAGCCGCCGACAAAAGGTTTGTGTTAGTCAAAAACTTGACATGGCATAAATTGGGGATGCCGTGGCCACTGATTTCAAGACCACTTCCTTGGCAGCAAGAGTCATCGATTTTGATTTCCAGTGCTGCAATCGCAGAACCAGCCGGTCTTCAATAAAAGCAAACGATTCTTGCTTAGAGCGAGAAATACGGGTTGGCAGCCCCAAGTAGAAGTCCTGCGGAGTACTAGCTGATACCCCAAGAATGGAAATCAGAGAATCCGCCTCACTCTCTGTTACATTGGCACTAAAAGAGACGGTAGACTTCTGCAAATTAACTTTTTGCCCGCTCGCTTGCTGGTACTCATGCAGAAGCTGAAGCAGATGATGACACTCTGTGGAGGATGCACAAAGAAAGATATAGGAATCGTCGGCAAACAATAGATGGGAGATCGGAAGGCACAACCGATTAATTTTTAGACCATGGAGGAGCCCCGTCGCCACTGCTCGCTTGATGCAGCACGTAAATGCTTCTGTATAGAGTGCAAATAATAGAGGGGAGAGGGGATCCCCTTGCCGAATGCCACGATGAGTTTGAAATACCCGTGTGGTGCGCCATTGAGCAGAACCGAGTACGATACTGACGTCACACAGGCCCATAACCAGCTCAACCATCTTTCACAGAAGCCCAGGTGTCGCATAACGCCAAAAAGAAACTCCCATTCAACCCTATCGTAAGCTTTCTCCATGTCGAGCTTAAGAGCCATCCATTTCTCGTGACCAGAGGTTTTAGTTTTCAAAAAATGAAGCACTTCTTGGCCGATCAGCACATTGTCAGTAATGAGCCTTCCTTTCACGAATCCGTTTTGACAAGGTGAGACGATCCTTGGGAGGACATCCCTGAGCCTTGAAGTGAGCACTTTGGAGATGATCTTGTAGGGAACCTGATACAAACCAATTGGACGCATCTGACGCATCATCTCAGCATTCGGAACCTTAGGAAGCAGGGTAATCCAAGTATGATTGAAATTGGGAAGGAGGTGCCTTGAGTTGAAGAATTCTAGTACGGCAGAAGTCACCAAATCGCCGACCAGACCACAATAAGTTTGAAAGAGATACCGGTGAATCCATCCGAACCTGGAGCTTGATACCCACCAATGCTAAAGACTGCAACTTTTATTTCCTCCCGGGTAACAGTAGCAATCAAGGCTGAGTTCATAGAATCAGTCACAAGAACTGGCAGATTAAGGCTGGCCACAAATGAGAGCTCCTCTAGCGCCTCTGATGCGAAAAGATTGCCAAAGTGAGCCACTGCTACAGCGCCCTTAGCATCCTCATCAGTATGTATCCCACCAACGTCATCCCTAAGGAGTAGGATGCAATTCCGTCGCCGCTTTTGAAGGGTAGTCAGGTGGAAAAACCTCGTGTTGGAATCACCCCACGTGAGCCAATGAGTCCGGGACTTCTGCTCCCAATAAATCTCCTCCTGTAAATAAGATTCCGAGAGCTGTTGTTCAAGAGACACAATACCTGCCCAATCAATCATAGTTTGATCACGAGCAACGGAGATCGCATCTTGAAGTTCTCTGATCTGACGAGCTGAGTTCGACGTCCCAGAGGCTGCCCATTTGTACAGCTCGTGACGAGTCAATTTGAGAGTCTCATGCAGTTGGAACTGAAAGGTTCCACTTACAGGAGAAAGCCATTGTGCCTGCAGAATTTGGTTTGCCTCCTCGTTGCCAATCCAGCGGCTGTCGAAGTGAAAATTGGCCTTAGTCTTGGCAGCCATAGGATGCAATTGCAGAAGGATGATTATGTGATCAGATCCCAAATCCGAGAGATGGTGCACCTGGGCACCAGGCCAAGATGAAACAGCCATACTAGAAGCAAGAACCCGGTCGAGCCGCTCCATTATATGCTCACTCGGTGATCGCCGATTTGACCATGTGAAGGGCAGTCCATGGAATCCCAAGTCCTGCAATATGAGATGAGCAGCAAAGTTCTGTAATAAGGATAGAGATTGAGGAGAAGGAGACCGACCACCTATATTTTCATAACTAACTAGTAGGCAGTTGAAGTCACCAAGAATGAAAAAGGGATGAGAATAATCGGAAAGGTAAGCAACAATTTCATTCAGGTGTAGTTGGCGCAAAGCCTCGTTACAATCCAAATGGACAAACACAAAAGCAACTAAACCATAGACCTGGTGATCACACTCTAATCCAATAAAGAATCCAGACTGAAACAACACCCTACAATTGATGTCACCTGTCCAACCTACTGCCAAACCACCTGCAGTATTGATAGGACTAACAATGACACAATCAACGAAGCCTAAACGACGCAAGTGGTTCATCACTTTTCTATCACGACACTTAGTTTCACAAAGGAAAACAATCATGGGAGTAAAACTATTTACAACGGCAGAAAGAGTTCTCCTTGCCAAGGCCTTGCCAAAACCTCGGCAATTCCACGCTAGAACACTCATGATGTGGACTTGGACCGAGCTGGGCCGGTTGCCTCCACCCTGACATCAGTTTCATCAATACCAGCATCCATCTCTGATGCATTTAGACACACAGCCTTAGGATCCGGAAGTATCTCCCCTTCCTCCAGTGAATCTCGCTTGCGCACCAATGATGAGCCACCAAGCTCCACTGAAGTGTGCTGAGCGGCCTGAATGGCCAGCCCCTGCATACCCGAACGTGTCTGGTCCATCTTTGTGGCCGCGGTTAAAAGAGTAGCGGAAGTATTGCCCACGACAGAAGACTCCCAGGAGTGCCGAGTCCATGACAGCTTGGGATGGCGACGCTTGAGAGTGCGTTCGTCAACTTTAGACCCCTCTTCCTTGGCCAGCGTATGTCTCCCATATGGCAGAGGTTTCCCGACGAACTCCGATGCACGAGCACAACGACGGCCACTGTGACCTATAACTCCACAACAAAAGCAGAACAACGGGAGACGTTCAAACAAAACCAGAGCTTTGAAAGGACCCTTACTGTTGGCCACAAGAGAAGCAGATACAGTCTGTGACAGCGGAGCCGAAACATCCAGAGCCACTCGAACGTGGAGGAAAGCCCCGCCAGTTTCAGATCCTACATAGACAGCAGCATCCTTGAGGTCCCCCATTGCTGAACCAAGGCATCGGGCCATGAGGGTGGTGAGGCGTTCATAGGGCACATCCCAAAGTTGAACGTCAAGCGGCACCCGTAAGAGCGATTGGGCGACCTCCTCTGATGGTTCCTCCCATTCTTGAACATGAATCATGAATCGGGATATGATCCAGGGAGTAACCGCCAGCACCTTCTTTCGATCCAAAGGGTCCGAGAAGATGAATTGGACCAGGCCCGCCGGCATCGGGAGAACCGTCAGCGACCCTTTGCAGTTCCAAACGTCAACCAAGAAATGCTGAAGACTCCCCGTCGATGGAGCGGGGCCAAAGATTCGCCCAATGAGGCTGAGGCTGGTTCGCTCTTCAGAGACGGCAATTGCTTCATCTGTGAACACAGCACTGACCGTGGCAGCCATGGGGAGATGCTCAACGACGGACAAAGGCGACAATTGCAATTGAAGATGCAAGAGGGGGATTGGAACTTGATGAACCCTAAGAGGCCACCAGTTCCTTATAAGGCCGCAAGGGGCACTCATACAGCCAAACCGCCGGGAAGCGGGGCCACTTCGCCGGAGAGTGGCGATTGAATAGTCGCACGAACGACGATAGAAACCCTGGGTTTCGGAACTGTAATCGTGAAAAATTGGTGTTAGCTTGACTGATCGGAGTTAAAGAAGAGTCATTATAACTAGAGATAGATATGCCCGAGCAGAAATATGTGGCACTTTAGTGCCAGAGGCATTCACCATGTATATATAATGAAAATATCATGATACGACAATGATATAATGTCATCAAATTATTTTATCAAACATAAGAACTCATACCAACATCATATCACTATCAATCTATCATACCTACATGTATCACTATCATATCAACATCATACCACTATGATATCATACCATTGTCAGTGGTAATATTGTGATATGATAGTGGTATTATGACCAGAAAATTGTTTGTTCAAAAAATATCAAATTGGATATTATTTTATACCACAAAATATGATATTTATACAGAGTTTTTTTTTTTTTTTTTTTTTTTGAAATCCAATGTAAAACTAATGAGATTATCCGCTAAAGATTCGTAGAAGATTTAAAAAGTTCATTAACCGACTCTCTTACTCACTTCTATGAGTAACTCTTTCAGAAAAACTCTTTCCGAACAAAAAATCTAAGGATGGGAAGCGGAAAGAGTTACTAGACAAATCTTCAACTTTATAAAAAAGGGAGTTACAAGACAAATGAGATATGATAAGAAAAAGAGGAATGAAGCAAGGCTTCTCGGGTGGATTATGGGCACTCTGGAATGCATTGGACATGAACTTGCGTCTGGAACCTCAAGCAACCAATTTCTCCAATTTTGAGTCTGCCCTCTGAAAACCAGTAGGAGTTCATTACTGGTGTGTGGGTCGCCAAACCCAGTAATCTATGAGCAAGATGAGAGGATCTACATCTTTGTTAGGGAGAGTTGGTTATTGGTGCAGCTGAATTACCTGAAAAAGTGGAATGAATCCCATATGCCAGTATCAAGCCTGTAAGAGGAGGACGAGGTTCTGAATATACTTCAATAAACTTTGCAACATGAAGCAGCCCTTTGGTATACAAAATCCGGAGTGCTATGGTTTTGGAAGGGGATCAGAGCACTCATTTTTTCCACCTAGAAACCCTTAAGCATAGGAGTGCATACGGAGTCATAAAACTGAAAAAAATGCACGGATCATGGATCGAGGACGATGATGAAACATAAAATGAACTATTCTAAACTCTCGTATTATGATCCAAAGGGCATTCATTTTCTATATTTGTAATCATAGTATGTTTAATTCATGCTATGAATGATTCAAGTGTGCTTTAGCAACCCTAGGATTGCTTCTTTGGGTTTGATGTGCTTTTGGTAGCGTTTTGTGCATTTCTAGGTCCAAACAAGCTAGTGAACCACTTAGTAGCCGAATGAGACATCAAGTTCTAGTTGCTGGAGTCGTGAACCGAAGAGAAGATGGACTTAAAAAATGCGCCTAAAATGAAAGCCCATGATGGGAAATGACGCCATTGCCGTCGTTTTACATGGCACCTCAACTTCGTCAAAAGGTTACATGGAAGCCTCTGGATTTGCTGGCCACGAATTTGGAGCTTTTTGATTGGTTGGATGATGCAATAGCTATGAGTTTCTCTTCCGAGAAATTCTAATCAAAGGACTATAAATAGGCATCTAGAGATAGAAATTGGGAGGAGAAGACAAGAGGTCAAGAAGGGTCGTTATTTTGTTGACAGAGGGACTCACCTAACCTATAAGAAAACCAAATTAAAGGGAGGAATCGATGCCAGAAAGAGTGACCTAGGCAGGCCTTGTTTCCTCTGTTGTTGCTGCTGATTTAGTGGTTTTCTGGTGACTTCATTTCGATCGATGATCACCCAAAAATCCTTCCCCATGACTGGCTTGTTCATTAAGTTTTTTTAGGTATGTGAACACTAGGGTTGTTGTCATTTAAAACACGATGTTTGGTTTAATAAGATTGTTTTGTTTCATATGTGTTGATGCTTCATTTCCTATATTTTGTTATTTGTGAATTTGAATGATTGTTTAGTCGTCATTGCACTCCTTCGAGGTGCAAGATTGATAACGATGTAATTGCACATATATGCGCCCCTAGTTCTTATCCGTTTGAGGGGCATAGTCGTGTGTTTTTGGCCTATTTTATGCCGGGTTGTGCTATTTTGTCATGTTTCAGGTTCCAGGTGTAAAAGGGAAGGCTAAGCACGAGTTTCGGGGCATTCAGAAGTCATTTCGGTGAAACTGAGCCAAAACACGGGCACACCTAATTCATTACACGGCCGTGTTCTCCCAAAGCACGGACGTGTTCTCTCCAAAACACGGTCGTGTTCTGTGGCCGTGTTTTTACTGCCTAGAGCTAATTCGAGTTTGGCAAACATGAGCTGATTACACGGGCTGAAAGCACGGCCGTGTTCTCCCAAAGCACGACCGTGTTCTCTCCAAAGCACGACCGTGTTTCTCCCAATGAACTGGCCGTGTAATTAAACCTAGCCAAAGCACGGGCGGGCTGAGGCATTACACGGCCGTGCCCTCGACCGTGCTTTGGCCACTGATGCCCTTTTTAAGCAGATTTTCAGCCAAAAGGAACCAGAGGAGCTGGGTTTTAGATCCCAAACACCCAAGGGACGAACCAAAGAGAGAGAGGGAGATTTGAGGGCATTCTTGGAGTGGAATTGGAGGATTTCTTTGCCTTGGAAGCTCGAGGAAGAAGCCCGGACTTGAAGACTGATCATTTGGAGATTCTTACTGCAGTCTCTCTCTTCTCTATGGAGTAACTTCCCTTCACTTAGGTTTTGAGGAACCCTAGCTATGTTTGTTTGATTGGATGATTGTATGAGTACTCTGACTTGATTATCTTGAGTTCATATTCAATCTATGCATGTTTTCATGATTCAATTCTGCTTTAGTCGAGATTATTGATTCTACTTTGATCCTATGAGAGGGAATACCTGATTAGGTCAATAGAGCACCATAGATTGATAGTAGTGGATCGATTGCTTTAGTCGAGGGTTGATTCACTGCTTTGTATCGATTGAGAACCTCTTTCGATAGAGGGAGTCTAGTTCAGAACGCCTTGATCAGTTGTTCTAGAGAAGGATACGTCCCTCTAGGCAATTGACTCAAGAGGGCCTTGTTCCTTTAGTCGAGACTCAAGGTCTAGTCAAGGATTCTCCGCATTGTGAATGAAAGTGAAACAAGTTAGAAATCATCAATCGTTAGTCTGGCTAGTGGCTAGGGGGAATCATACCTAAGTGAGTTCCCAACCTGTAATTAGATTAACTTTAACTGTAGTTTGCTAGAGTAGTTTTAGTTCTTTCATCTTGATCTGGTTTGCTAAATAATAAACTGAAGCTGAGTAATAGTAACTCTAGAGACCCGTGGATTCGATATTTATCACTTGAGCCACTATACTGCAGTCCCTTCCATTGGTTACGCTTGGCCATTGTTAGGTGTTGTGTCATAGCGAGTCAAGTTTTTCGCGCCGTTGCCGGGGACTTTCTAGAGTATTAGGAAAAGCAGAAGTTTGTTACTTTAGCTTTTTTCTTTTCTTTTCTTTTCTTTTCCACCCTTGCTTTTCACTTGGGTGTTTTTGTTTTTGTTGGTGCAGATCTGAATCATGGATCCTCATGGCTTCTCCAACAATTGGGGGTATCCACCACCATCCGGGTGGTATTACCCCGAGACTCCCTGGAGCAATCAAGGAGGAGAAGACTATGGATTCGGGTTCCAGTACCAACCCCCTTACTACTGAGAACAACCGGACCCCTGGGCATATCAAGAACAACCTCATTACCAAGAAGAAATTCTCCCACAACCAGAAGGGCCATCGGCGCTGGAGTTACCCATGGCGGCGTTCACGGGCTATTCTGCAGAGCCATGCTACACTCCACAGCCAGATCCAACCTACGAATTGAGGCTTCTCATGGAGAGATCATGCTCCAGGATGGATCATTGTGTCCAGGCCTTTCATGAAACAGAGGAGATCCTCCTGAGCCTTAAGAAGAGTGTCGATGATCTTGAGCGATCTTGGGAACAACCTGCTCCAGATCACCCTTCTGCTACCATACAAGAAGAGGAGGAGGAGGAAGAAGGCTACAAGGACATTGTGGAGCACACTGAAGTTGTCACGGAGAGCTCCCGTGATGATCATGATCAGGAGTGTCATGTCGTAGCCGACCACACCTTCCCACACCCCAAACTGAGCTTTGAAGAGGCGGGCATGAGTGAGGAGATGCAAGAAGATCTCATGAAAGAAATTGCTTGGCAACTTGCTCTCCAATCCGTGCTAGAAGAAGAAGAGCAAGAAAGGGTGCAGAAAGAAGTTGTGGAGGATGACGAAAGTGAAGCTGGAGGAGTTCTTGATCATTTTCCAGGGGTGATACCACATGAAGAAGGAAGGGAGGTTGAAGAAGCAATTGGCGTCCAGGATGAGGACGAAGTTGAGGTGGAAGAGGCTTGCACCGGCCATGAGTTGCAAGTGATATCCCCACCAAACTTTGAGGAACTGCTTAGCAAGGACCCATTTGCAGTGTTTCTTTGCCGGACCAAAGCCACATCGAAATCGGTCCCTCTTGGTGGACGCGATGGTGGCCAATCGATGCTGTCATATCTGGTTTGGGGCAATGTGACGAGAGAAGAAAAGAAGAGGTCTCGAGGGTGGAGACTTCATCTGCATCAAGTACATGAGTCTTCATCACCTGTCACACCACATGCTCGTGACTTGAGACTCCACCTCATCGACGAGAACCTCAACTTCAAGGAGGTTCTAGCATGGACCGAAACTTAGGAGCCATCGTCTGGCTCACGACGTGAAAGAAGCGCTTGTTGGGAGGCAACCCAACCAGTCGGTTTGCATTTCTTTCTCTATTTCTCCTCGGTTGAGTCAGTTTTGTTATTTGATTTTAGAGTCAATAACTCAACCTTTGTGAGATTTTGTGTGGTGTTTGTGTTCTGATTACTCTCTCTTTCTGGAATGCACCGCTTGACCCGTTCATCATCATTCACCCTTGATCTGGTAACTTCGTTCTACCCTCCTTATCTTTCCTCCATTGAGGACAATGTCGTGCTTAAGTGTGGGGGGATGTTCGATTATTTATGCGGGTGAATGTTTGGCTGTTTGTGTGCTTGGAGCCTAGTCCACTGTCCAAATTTTTAAATTTGAGGGCTCCAAGTACGTGTTCCTTGCAATTGCCTGCTCAGTATGCTTTGAATTGACAGTCTTTATAGTAATATGCAACCTAGGGAGGTAGTGTAGCACTATGGAGGATGTTGATGCATTTAAGAAATCTCATTTCTTCTTCATATTGTGTTGGTTGATTGAGTGAATTAGTGATCTTAGGACCCTTGAATTGTGTGGTGTTGTGGATTCTCTGCCTGTCATGGACTCTTGTATCATGCTTTGAAAATAACAGGTGCTCGAAAATGTGCTTCAAAATAACGTCTCCCGTGCGAATAGGGCGAAAGTGTGTAAGGGGAGACGGGAATCCGTTCCCAATTTCCACCTACTACCTCCAGCCCCCTTAAATGTCTTTCCCCCGCACGAGGCTTGAGACATCCGCTCCTGGCATGGCCGGTAAGAGCCGGTTGGGACCCTTGAAAAAAGAAAAAAAAATAACAGAAAACAAGCAAAACAGAAAGAAAAGGGGTTCCAACCATCTTCAAGAAGAAAATAGAGCACCTTGAAAAATGTGAGTCCATGATCCTTTGTTTTTGAGAATCTCTTCATCCACAATTCATTTGTCCTCTATTCACTATTTGCCATGATGCCGACTCGATAATAGTGCTCTCGCCGAAGAAGCTATGAGATGACTTGTGCGTCGGTTGACCTCGTAAGTTGCTAAATGATCTAGGAAGTCCTCTACCTACGATCTGGGTTGTTTGTTGCTATAGAGGTCTGGAGAGTTGCATTGGTTTGAGTTAGGTTTGCTTGGGGACAAGCAAACGGTTAAGAGTGGGGGAGTTTGATAACGATGTAATTGCACATATTTGCGCCCCTAGTTCTTATCCGTTTGAGGGGCATAGTCGTGTGTTTTTTGCCTATTTTATGCCGGGTTGTGCTATTTTGTCATGTTTCAGGTTCCAGGTGTAAAAGGGAAGGCTAAGCACGAGTTTCGGGGCATTCAAAAGTCATTTCGGTGAAACTGAGCCAAAACACGGGCACACCTAATTCATTACACGGCCGTGTTCTCCCAAAGCACGGCCGTGTTCTCTCCAAAACACGGCCGTGTTCTGTGGCCGTGCTTTTACTGCCGAGAGCTAATTCAAGTTTGGCAAACATGAGCTGATTACACGGGCTGAAAGCACGGCCGTGTTCTCCCAAAGCACGGTCGTGTTCTCTCCAAAGCAAGACCGTGTTTCTCCCAATGCACTGGCCGTGTAATTAACCCTAGCCAAAGCACGGGCGGGCTGAGGCATTACACGGTCGTGCCCTCGACCGTGCTTTGGCCACTGATGCCCTTTTTAAGCAGATTTTCAGCCAAAAGGAACCAGAGGAGCTGGGTTTTGGATCCCAAACATCCAAGGGACGAACCAAAGAGAGAGAGGGCGATTTGAGGGCATTCTTGGAGTGGAATTGGAGGATTTCTTTGCCTTGGAAGCTCGAGGAAAAAGCCCAGACTTGAAGACTGATCATCTGGAGATTCTTACTGCAGTCTCTCTCTTCTCTATGGAGTAACTTCCCTTCACTTAGGTTTTGAGGAACCCTAGCTATGTTTGTTTGATTGGATGATTGTATGAGTACTCTGACTTGATTATCTTGAGTTCATATTCAATCTATGCATGTTTTCATGATTCAATTCTGCTTTAGTCGAGATTATTGATTCTGCTTTGATCCTATGAGAGGGAATACCTGATTAGGTCAATAGAGCACCATAGATTGATAGTAGTGGATCGATTGCTTTAGTCGAGGGTTGATTCACTGCTTTGTATCGATTGAGAACCTCTTTCGATAGAGGGAGTCTAGTTCAGAACGCCTTGATCAGTTGTTCTAGAGAAGGATACGTCCCTATAGGCAATTGACTCAAGAGGGCCTTGTTCCTTTAGTCGAGACTCAAGGTCTAGTCAAGGATTCTCCGCATTGTGAATGAAAGTGAAACAAGTTAGAAATCATCAATCGTTAGTCTGGCTAGTGGCTAGGGGGAATCATACCTAAGTGAGTTCCCAACCTGTAATTAGATTAACTTTAACTGTAGTTTGCTAGAGTAGTTTTAGTTCTTTCATCTTGATCTGGTTTGCTAAATAATAAACTGAAGCTGAGTAATAGTAACTCTAGAGACCCGTGGATTCGATATTTATCACTTGAGCCACTATACTGTAGTCCCTTCCATTGGTTACGCTTGGCCATTGTTAGGTGTTGTGTCATAGCGAGTCAAAGATCGAAATCCCAGTCTTGTAGTATTAGACCAGACATGGGGGTCCTACTCGATCAATCCTCATTCAATTTAACGGCGTGGCGCCTCAAAGGAGAAATCCATAGGGTCCTTGTCTCCCATTAGTTCGGGTAAATACTTCGACCCAAGGTGGGATAACAAAATACGAAATCGACATCTTTTAAGTTGGCGAGTAATGAGGGATACGTGACTATAAAACCTAGGGGGAGCTTATACCCGATTGTTGGTTATACTTGCCCATCGATTTTGAAGTTTTAGTTAGAGCCAACCGACATCTATTTTCAGAGAATTGTATATTCAAAACGTTAATAAAGCATTAATATCTACCAAATTTTTAGATAAATATATACATCCAGATCAATATACACAACACCTCTTTTTTTCAACTTCAATGTATACATAAAATAATATATTTTAATTGCCCATTCAAACTATTTGTCACCAATTTTATACATAAAATTATCTAAACTTACTTTGTTTATTAAATTTTATTTACAAAATAAAATAATAAAAGTACATGTATTCTCCTACTGCCGCAACCCCTAAGTTTTCCCAAATGGTATCCTAGTTCTCCATCCCACCGTTTTACTGTTTCTCATCATCATCCTATTTTATCTATTCATTGACCGTCAATTTTTTGTTCCCATACACCAAAAGGGTATTGTCTACAAAATTTCAGGATTCTAATACAAAATTTTCTTGTACCAATCCAAACAATTTCTAAATCAGTGGCCACCTCAATAATCTCATGGAATCTATCTCTTCCAATCTAGTCATAAGCTCTTAATCCGGTTGAGTTCACATCACATGTAAAGAACCTAAATTCTATAGAGTCTTAGTCAATCTCTGGTGATTGGCGGATAATTAGTTTTTGATTGGAGCCCTACAAAGAGCTTGTACTATCATCAATTATTCTTCATCCATACTCTCACCACCACATGTATGCCTCTCTCTAAGTGAAACAACTGCTCATTGTCTTTCGATCGCATATATTAATTGACGAATGTTTTTCGAATTCCTCCAAGTTCATATTTTTTGATGTTGATGTCTCTTTTCTAAACATAAGAAATAAATAAATATTTGTGAAGACAAAGTACTCTTCCTACTTTCGTTCTCGTTGCAGAATATATGAAATGGGCAACAACTTTATCATTCCACTGTCATATGTTTTGTATATTTAGCTAGATACAATAAATATGTTTAGTGTACTTGGTTATGCCTCTATGTATATTTGAAAGTTCATAGTTCAAATCCCAACATTTCTCTATTTTTCTATAGATAAGAAATAATTGATATTGTGAAGAAAAAAACATAAGTCCTACTTTCGCTCTCGCTATAGGAAATTTCGAAATGAGACACCAATTTTCTCATTAGACTATTATATATTCTATAGAGATAATGACAAATATAGCCATATTTAAGAGGTTTATTGGACAAATATAGTTGTTTTTGTTAGTAATGTAATGTAATGAAGTTAAATGTGTCGTTAAAAATTAACCGCAAGTTGAAGTGGACGCCTCTCCAACTACAATTTTATCTCCAAATCGACATTTCACACCACATGTTGCCCACATCAAATTAGTAAAAAAAGTTTTAATTTTAATTTTTCCTATTTTATTTTTACTTCCTTCTGCTCCTTCTAATGAAAAGACCTCCATTTATATATGTCATCCTTCATCTTCATCATCAGCGTCGCTTAAATCAAAATCCACAAAATCTTAAATCCAATGAAACCATTTTCTTATTTATCTGTTCTGATTGCTCCACAAACAGGTCATCTTATCTTCTCAATAAACACCAACCCCATCTTCTTATCGACACGTTCTTCTTCCCTTTGTTTCCAACCAATCAAGCAATCACTGAAGCTTTTCTTGTCAAACCAATCAAAATTCACCCAATCAAAATCACATCGAAGCTTTTCTTTGGTTCCCCCAATTGAGCTAGCGTATGGAGATTTCAAATTCTATATAGGAATTGAGATTTAGATTAGGTCGGTTCAGTACTAATTCCTCGTTACTGACCTTGTCTCTCTCTCTTTCTCTCTTCCTTCAATTAGCTCGAAGCTCTATTGAGATTCCCAAATATAATCTCGTTAAAAATAACATGGTTTGCAAATCTTAACCTCTAGAAGCAAACGACTTTGTTCTATCGAAGTCTTGTATATCTAAATAAAGAAATTGAATCATGGTGAAGGGATAATATAATTTCAGAAAATTTGAGTTGAAGGGTGCTCGTGAATAATTTAGCAAGATGTTAAAATGTATTAAGAGTGCTCGTGCAACTTGCTTCATGTTTTGTGTTTTGTCGGCATCGATTAAGTCGCCGTTTGGAGCATGCTATTCTATCTACGTCATTACCTTACCGGCATAGCATTTTCATGTGTTATATTGTTCCAATGTGAAACTAGATGAGAACCGACATAGATTTGGATTTTGATTGACGATGAGAGATGGAGAAGTAGTGAAAAAGGGTAAAAAGGGGTTGGAAGAAGACGTCATGTGACCATTCATTTGTCATCTCTATTTTTTTTAAAGCAAAATATATTCTTTTTTCTCTCCCTTTTTTACTTATGTTACTTAGAATACAAATGTTGAAAATCGCAAGTTGTCAAGTTAACAAAAAAATGTCCCATCAGTATAATTCTTTATATTTGTCATAAAAATGACTATATTTGTCACAAAACTCCATGTTTTAGTTACACATATGTATTCTCTCTAAATAAATATTTAATATTTAATGTTCGAAACAATGTTACTTCAGTTCTGATATCAGAATTAATGTCTTTCAGTGAGATATAGATAACTTTCAGGTAAAATATAAATACGAAAGCGTCAACACCAAATATGTTTCTAAAGTTTAATCAAAGAAATTACAATTAATCCAATTTAGCCTAGTTGGTTGTAGTATTTTCTTCATTTAGGTGACTAATAGTTCAAATCTCAATAATAAATTTTTTTATATAGAGAAAATTGGGTAAAAGTAACTTTTGTAGAATTACTTTCATATCACAAAATTTGAAAGGAAGGTTGCTGTTTTCCATCCCACTAATATTAGAGATGTAGATCAATTTGAGATAGTGATGAATTACACCCATTTCTAGTATAAATAGAAAAAGAGTAATTGCACCCACAATCCAGTGATCATTGCCATGGACTCTATTAATGTTCCTCGTGTACGAAGCTTGGAACCAAAGCAATAACCACGATCCAATTCTCCAGTTCTAGAAAGAAAAAGAACCGAACTTTCCCATTTTCCAACCCCCCCCCCCCCCCCCCCCCCCCCCCCCCCCCCCCCCCTCGTTTTGTCTTCTTCTTTTGGAAAATGGTAACGGCAATTATGCTAACATAATAGCTTTTTAGCCGCCCCAACCGACTCAAATCAGAAAATCATCATAAGGAAAACATAAAGAAGATTACAGAGCTACAAAGTGGGTTGGTGAAAAGTTGTCATGATGCAACTCAGAGCACTCCTCAACTCGACTCTTTCCGGCCAACAGTCCATTTCCATTTTATCTTCCCAATTCAGGATTTCTGTTTAAGAGCGGCGCCAACCACAATTGATAGGACTTAGTTCGTTCATGTCCAAGTACGAGAAGACCCACAAGCTTCGTTGGATCTCGATAAATAAAACAAATGGTTTAGAAATCGAAATTTATTGTTCAGCCGGATCGAAAATATCGGATATCAAAATTCAAATAGTAAGGGAGTTTAAATTATGAAATATGGATCACGAACTACAAGTTTATTACAAAATATCATACAATTGAATTTTCTGATATAGCCATTGGCAGGGCTGTCTCTTGGAGTGTGTTGGGAGGCCCTACCCTACCGCACATGACCTTCAAATTATAGGGGCCTCCTGAGTCCCGAGTCTCTATCATGTATATAGCTAATTATAATTAGAGTAAATACAAGTTACTAATCAGATCTTTCAATTTTTTTCTTTTGAAATATATATATAATATATATAATTAGACAAATGCTTTGTAAAGCATAAAAATAATAGTCATTTGTCTATTTTCGTCAATAATTTTGTAACTCTTTTTTAATTAAAATACTAAATTTTTAAATTTTTGACGGCCACGTGTTGTTAAATAAGCGTTACTAACAAAATTTCTAACTGGGTTTGGCTAATATTTTGTATTTCGAAAGTTTGACAAATAATTTGAAAACAAATTAACTACATTAGGGGAAAACTTTTGTTTTGATTTTTTTATTCGATCACCTATTCATGTGAGTCCGTTTAATTTCTTAAAATTCCACTTTGCTATGGTGACTTGCAAGTCACCGTAACTTGGACAAAATGGTCGACCTGTTCACTAATGAGGCCGACCTATTTGGACAAAACGGTCGACCTGTTCACTGATGAGGTCGACCTATTTGGACAAAACAGTCGACCTGTTCACTGATGAGGTCGGCCTATTTGGACAAAACAGTCGACCTCTTCACTGATATGATCGACATATTTGGACAAAATGGTCGACCTCACTATTGAAATGGTCAACCAGATATACTATTTTTCATTTGATGTGTTCAACAAACGACCATTTTTTTTTTATATAGTGACTTTTAGTGGAAGAAAATAGTGGTGGAGAAGTGACCAATTGGCTAGATAACAACAACGTGAGAAGTGACCTAGGGTATCGAAACCCGTGGAATACGTCCTTGGCTGCCACTATATTAGCAATGCCATTTCGTACATTAATTGGCACGGAATGGGGTAGTTAGTTAGGTTGTGAAAACAATTGACATGACTCTCACGGGTTTTAACCAATAGCACTAAAACTTTGAATAAAAGTAAAGATATATGTGAGGCCATTTTTTAAGCGAGGTAAGAAATATTTGGAAGTGGAGAAGATAAAAGGATTAATATGAACACATTTGGAATAATCACTAAAAATGGAATATACGGTTAATAGATAAAATGATTGTTATAATTTCCATTTGAATTTTTTTTTTTTATGAATTAGGTGCTTTCCATTTCATCAAAAGAAAAGGGGTGCTGGGAACAACCTTCCCAGCTAGGTTCACCCATTCAACTGGGCATACAGCACAAAACCTCAAAGAAAACCAAAACTGTTACCTATTTCTCCTTAGAATAAAGCTAGCTAATCAGCAAGAATTGTCATCACCTGAGATCCAGAATTTTGCAGCTTCTACCTCCTGCAACAACACCAATACTTCACTTCGGATTACCTTCCTCAAACCCTCAAAACATCGACTCTTCCCTTCATATAGCTAACTAGCACTTTGCCCGGCCGGTTGGCCGGGTGTGTTTATTGCATTTATGGTCCGCTTTGGTGTCCTTTTAGCCCGTTTGTTTGTAGTAAATAGTTGTGAATTCGCTTTTTCTTTTCACAATATTGTATTTTCAGTGATGTTAGTGGCAACTGGCAACCTTAATTTGTGGTTGAAACGTTGATGTCATAAGATCCATTTTTCCTATTCCTCTTTATTCACCCAGCCTTCTGGAGGTTTTTCCCATATATTATTCCACTCTGATCTTTCCTCCTTCTCCAAAGTGTGATGCGATTTAAACTCTTCTCAGTAGGTGAAAGCTTGACTCGGAAGACCCACTGAATCGTCCCGACCCGTCCCGTCCAAAGTGTGATGCGATTTAAACTCTTCTCAGTAGGTGAAAGCTTGACCCGGAAGACCCACTGACCCGTCCCGTCCAAAGTGTGATGCGATTTAAACTCTTCTCAGTAGGTGAAAGCTTGACCCGGAAGACCCACTGACCCGTCCCGACCCGTCCCTAAGGATCGGGACGGGTCAGTTTGTCTACGGGGACAGATTAGGGACGGGTCACTTGTTGACCCTGTAAGGGTCAAGACGGGTAGGGACAACTTAGGGACGGGTCAGGTTTTGACCCTGTGACCCTTAACAACAACAAATATCTCACACCGCATTGGACCTTTTTGTAAAGTTTTAAAAGTTTAGGTACTAATTTGTAAAAATAAAAAAATTTGGGTACTAAAACGTAATTTTACCTCCAAAATTTATGGACTTATTTGTAAAAAAATAAATTTTAGGTACTAAATTGCAAGGAAAAATAATTTTGGCTACCAAAACGTAATTTGTAAAAAAGTTGTGTGTTGATTAGGGTCGACCGACTGACCCGGCCAGTCCGGGCCCGTCCCTTGAGGGTCAAACAAGGTCAAGAAGGAAACAGGGACGGGACGGGTCAGTTATACATCTTGACCCTTCAGGGATGGGCCAGACAGGGTCAGGGACGGGACAGAGACGGGACAGACAAATTTTCAGCCCTACTTAGTAGTTTAGGGCACGACCAATGATTTCCCATTTCTCCGCTTGTTTCTTATTGAACATCTGATTATTTCGTTCATTCCAGATCGACCACAAAATGATGCTTAGTTTCTCTAGCATTTCATCCTCCGTTTGATCCATTACTGCACATAGCCAGCTCCTAGATGATATGTTAGGTTCTAGCTCAAATAATGGTATGAACATGGACGATCTCCAAATGCGAATTGCCCACTGACATTCCTTCAATATATGATTATGGGTTTCCTCTAGATTGCAGAAAGGGCATTACACTGCCGCGTCTTTCTTTCTCAGCTCGATGTTCTTTCCTGTTGGAAGAATTTCATGAGCTAGTCTCCTTAGGAATATTTTGACCTTTGGCCACCTATTGAGTTTTTAAACAATGCTATCATGAACTTTTTCCCACCTATAGGAGTGCAATTGTTCCACCTCATCGCAGCATCGCTGAGTGAGCTCCTTGTAGCTTGTAAGCAACCCTTGGGTGATAATTTTTTCTTTCTTGCTGCTTTGTTTATTTTTGTTATCAATAATGTTGAATTGTTGGATGAGCTTCAATAATAAATCATATACACTTCATCCAATGCAACGTGCAACTTCTATCAGCTTTTTTAATTTGGTGGTGAATGACATAACCTCTATTGTCCGTTTCAATATATATATTTCTCAACATTTTCCAAATCAATATTTACAATTAACTCGATATTCAAAAATTATTTATTTCTTGATTTAACTTTTAAGTGGGATCAAAATGTTATTTATAATTGAACCTAAAATGTCATGGTTATTCTTTGGGGTTAAATTAACTACAATCAAAGTTGGAGGCCGAAAGCCAACGTCCACACTTAAAGGGAGGATTTGGTTGGAAAATTTGCGAAATGAGATATCGAAATCAAATACAATTTTGTTGAACAGTGAAGTAAAAAAAATTAATAGAATTAACAGTGACGAAAAGAATGGATTTTGTGCATGCAAAAATAGTGAACAGAGAGAGTGCCAAGGAGTTTGCTATCAGCGCAACTCTATTGTTGTGGCCAACAGAGTACCCGACCCACTATCATGAAGCACCCTTTGATAAGTGATATGGATTATTGCTGCTCTTGGACTTGAATTAGAAGGTTCGGAATTGAATTCAAATGTTGTAGGTAAAAAAATTGAATGGGGTAAGATCAAATGCAACAACTTACTGTTTGTCGTTGCTTCTCCATTACTGGAGAGGAAAAGGGTAACTGGATGACTTAATGATGGTGAAAATCGAAAGGTTGGAATGGGGAAGAAGGAAATAGGCACTTAACCGATGCTGCTGCTATTTGGCGATGACTGCAGGGAATTAGAATATGAATTAACGGCTTCTATCGATGTTGGTGTTTAATGGGAGTACAGAAGAAGTTTGAGTTAAGTTGGAAGGGTGAATCTTGAGCGATCCTCTGTTACAGGAGACTCGACTCTTCGACAACGCAGCTTGCGGACTCTAGGGCTTAGGTTGTCTGACGATGGTGAGCCGGAGGGGAGATTCGGCGATCACAATTAGGGGCACACCACTTAGTTAGAATTAAAGCTGTTGTCGCCTTCAAGGAATGTGCTTGCCTGAGGCTGAGGGGAGGAATCAGCGCCGGGAATGAGGGTTGCAAAACTCCGTTAAAATGGAAGGTGCTCTAATTGGGTAATCACGTTCACTGCGATTTGCGAACTGTTTACTCTGGTGTCTAATTGAGAATTTCACCAATCCCTTTCATTTGTAGCGGGCCTAAATAACCGGGGCATTAAAATGCTCATGTGAAGGCCCAGCCCATTAAAATCCCTTTCATATTTTGCAGTAACAGGGCCATTTAAATGCTCATGTGAGGGCCTCCGTTCTGCTGTCGTATTTGAGCTAGGATTATAATCTAGGTGTAATTTGTCAGAAATGCCCCTCCGCTAATTAGGGGTTGCTTTTCAATAGTTGAGTTGGCAAAAGTCGGATACACACTCCTGTATATATATATATATATATATCTGTTGATACATCTTTCTCTCCATACCATATATAGCTTATCAGAGAATGCCAAATAATTCTCCCATTCCATGCATCCTTCCCTTTCTTTCCAAATGCATCAGTGGCCCATTGCAAACCATCATCCCAGTCTCGCGGCATAAATGTAGAAACCCCCCCCCCCCCCCCCAAACAGATCATGAAATAGTTTCCTGAAATACTCACACTGAGAAAAAAAAACAAGTGTTCTCTGCTTTCAGGCATCTGATTGCAAAGACAACACAAATCTGAACCAGCAAATCCCAAGTTCTTCATTTTGTCCTTAGTCTGGATCCTATCCTTTATGATAAGCCAAACCAAGAATCGGTTTCTATGGATAGAAGGAGGCATCCAGACCAAGCTAGCCCAGAAAACTAAACTTTGCTTAGGTCTTAATGACTCTCAAACCACTTTAACAGAAAACCTTGGCATTATAGAATCATTCTAATAAACTTTTCCATCTATCAAACTGAAAAGGTGAGGAAGTTTACCTCGTAGCTTTAACAGCCTCTTCCAGTTCCAAGAACCATCTAGGCCACCTATAGTGAACCTTGTTGTAGCATAATTGCCCAAATTTGACGACAGACACAAGCATTATTCCAGGCAAACATATCCCTCAAGCCTAATCCTCCCTCCTTCTTGGGATAAGTCAGGTATTTCCATGTAATCTTCGCTTTAAGTCTCTACCCTTCACCCACAACCCATAAAAAATTACTACAAATCCTTTCTATCTCTCTAAGAACTTCTTTAGGAAGAGAAAAAACACTCATCCAATATTGAGTAATACTATACAACACTGAACTCACCAACTCAACCTTCACTGCATAAGTCAGAGACTTTGCTTTCCACCCTGCTATTCGAGCCGTAAGCTTACCAATCAATGTTTTACAGGCCGCCACTGTCAACTTTCCTGAGATCAATGGTACTCCCAAATAACGTACAGGGAAGTTTCCCAGCTAATACCCAAATCTCTGAGCTCTAACTAGCATTTCATCCTTATCCATCCCACCAAAATAAACCTCGCATTTACTTGGATTAGACTTCAGACCTGATAACCTATAAAACTCTGCTAGCACATTTTGCACACTCTGCAATCCACAATTGGAGCCATCCGAAAATACCAAGAGATCGTCCGCAAAGCATAGATGAGTAAGCCTTTTTTTTTTTTGCACATTGGATGATAAGGGAAGAACCCTCTCTCTGCTTCTCTATCCAGAAGACAAGTAAAAATTTCCATAGCAATCACAAACAAATATGGAGACATTGGATCTCCCTGCCTCAACCCCTGCTTCGAAGGAAAATACCCTACCAACCCTCCGTTGAAAGAAATTCTCAGCATAGGTTCAGTCACACACATTCTTATCCAATCTATAAACTCAACTAGAATCCCCATTGCCTCAAGCACATTAAACAGAAACAATCAGTTGACAGAGTCAAAAGCTTTCATTAGGTCAATTTTAAGAGCTGACCTATATGAAACATTCTTCCTCTCATATTTTGATACCATTTCATGAGCCAATACCACGTTTTCTCCAATTAATCTTCCTCTAACAAATGCAGTCTGATTATTGCTAATCAGAAAAGGAAGCATAGCACTAAACCTTTTTGCAATTATTTTCGTTAAGCATTTATAGAGAGTATTAAAGCATGATATAGGCCTGAAGTTTTTCATTTCTTCAGGATTTGGGACTTTTAGTATTAGAGCAAGGATAGTGGAATTTACCTCTTGAGGTATTTTCTTGGTAGCAAAACAGTATTGTATTGCTTCAACAACATCAGCACCAACAGTCTCCCAAGCATACTGAAAGAATCTCGCATTATAATCATCTGGCCCTCGACTCTTATCCCCTTTCATTCCAAAAATTGCTTCCTTAACCTCAGCTTTTGTAATAGGAGCACAGAGAAAAGCAGTTTGCGTGTGACTTACTGTCTGCTTGAGTATAGACTTGAAGAATTCTACAGTACCCCCTTCAACCTCAGCATTAACCTGTCCCATCAACTTTTTATAAAAGCTTACTGCCACCTCACACATCTCCTCAACCCTTGTAACCCTATCTCCAGTCTCAGAAATAAGACTTGTGATGGTGTTTCTTTTCTGCCTCGTTCTCACAGGTCTATGAAAATAATTTGTATTTGAATAACCACCCTTTAACCTCAAAAGTGATTCCTCGGCCTTCAACAATGTGTGTAACACCCTTGCTAATGTCACATCCACTCCAGCCAAATCAGGAGAAGGGTCAGCTAGTGTTAATTCTTGGATTGCCTCAAGCTCACACTCCTTATCTTTTACTTTCTGCCTTAAGTCAGAGTATTCCTCCTTATTAAGAACTTTGAGCATCCCTTTCAATATTCGTAACTTCTTATAAACTTTCCCCATAGGGGAACCAGAAACCTGCTGATTCCAAGCTTCTTGCAATAACTCCCCAAACCTTGGATGCTCCAGCCAAAAGTTAAAAAACTTAAATGGTTTGGGTAATGATTTCAATGGTACCTCTGTTTGGACAAGTACCGGACAATGATCTTAGACCCCAGGCTTTTGCATATGAACTTTGTTGTCCTTAAACTCATCTAACTAAGCCAAATTAACAAAAGCCCTGTCCAAACGCCTGGCAATAGGATTACTAGCTTGCCTATTTAACCACGTAAACCATGGACCAGTGGACTTATGCTCCTCTACTTCCAACTCTGTGAGCCACTCATTAAAATCAGTCATACTTACAGACTGTGCTGGATTATTTGACCCCTCACTAGGATCTCGAATTGCATTGAAGTCCCTCATTACTAACCATGGTCGATGCTGCACCTTAAGTGCAGCAATCTCTCTATACATCTCCCTTCTTCCACCTTCTAAATTGAAGCGTAAATAAACGAAACAAAGAACGACACTACATCTCCCACCATTACATGGACAAATTGCTCTGAGGATCCCAGAACTTGCCAAGACCATTCTCATTATAGAATATCTTCTGCTTCCAATTCACAAATCTCTTCTTTAATATCTTCTTCTCATCAACTAGCTTTACCCGAGGTTCTAACACTGCTACTATATCAATAGTATACTTGTTTATCTTATTTAGTAAAGTATTATACTTACTATCATCTACAAACCCTCTTGTATTCCATGATAATATCTTAATTTTCGATTCCTACCTCTACCTCCACCTTTAGCTCCTTTCTTCTTTACCTCAGGAGGATCAATCCAGATTTTCTTCCCCTTACTAGCTTCACTAGGAGCCTTATTTTCCTTATCCATCACTGAAACCAAGAACCAGTAGGTAGTATAGCTCGAGCAGTGCACTGAGTCTTTAAACTCCTTCCATAGAAGATGATTTAAAGCCCCCAGACTGTTGCACAGGTGTGACAGGATTCCCAGCTATGGCTGATGACCCTTTCACCACCTCTGCAAAACTGACCCGAGCCCCCCCCCCCCCCCACCATTTGATGGAGGGGTAATAGACTCATTCACAACCAGAATCGGCTCCTGAACCTTCTGAACATCCACCTCCTCTTCTTGACTTGCAAAAATACTCTACAAAACACCATTCTGCAAATCCCGTAATAGTTCCTCCTCTTGTTCTGCCTCAGCTACCCCATGCCCTCCTTTTGTACTTCAGTAACAGCTTCACTCTTCTCAAGCTTCTTATTCTGAACCCAAACACGCTTAGGACTAGATGCACAATTATGCCCAAATACATGACACTTCGAACAGGCCTTAGGGAGATTGCTATACTCAATCCCAATTTCAAAGGGAGGATCATCATCTGGATATATACGAATAGACTCAGGAAACGAGTAATCAGCTCCAAGTTCCACACAAGCACTCGCAAACCCTAAATGACCCCCCACCCGTGTCTTTTGATCCATCCAGAGAGGCTTACCAATCATACTTGCAACCCATTCCAGTCCTTCCAAGGCCAAATACTCCAAAGGGAGCCCCCAAATTCGAACCCAGATTGGCAATCTTTCCACCTTTGGTACCACTGGCTGTATTCACTTTCGAAAGAAAATTGGATTACCTCGATAGTGCCATGGACCCGACTGGAAGACCCAATCGCACGAAGTAGAAGAAGGAAATTGAAACACCAAGAGCTTCGCCCCAAACTTCGACATTCTTACAACGCCATCGCGTCCCCAAAGCGCGTTAGCCCACGACCGAAGCTCCGGTATCTTCGGACGAGATCCGATGAACTACCCGATTAGAGAATTCTTCCACCGCTCCGCTCCCTTCTCCTTCACCTCTTTCGGAAGACGAAACTCGTCCTGAAATTTAATCGGAGGTCGATACTGCAGCCGATTCTCCAGAGAGACCTCAAAAAGCTGAGCCTAAGAGGAAGAGCCCGCGCCAGCCGGAACATCCGACAGCGAGGCAGCCATCGCAACCCTAGAAATCAGGAGAACTCAAGAGAGAGAGAAAGGAGAGAGAATTTTTTTTGGTTCTGGGTATAGTGTGTTTGTCATAATGGTATTGAAAACAATGCTGTAACTCGAACCCAAGACCTCAGGATCATAAACACATAACAAAGCGCCTAACCACTTGGACTACAACATTTTCTTATTTGAAAATAATTTCGATATCACCTTAATATATATAAAATTAACATTTTCAAATAATTGAGATAAACTTTGTGATATGATATATCCAAATGACATTTCAACCATCGGTCCAAGTAGCAGACTAGTAATATAATATAAACTTTCGCGTAAAAAGCCTTACCATTTCAAATGTATTCTTCCTTCCACATCAACAACCTCATTCAACCAATCACAATTCATTTTCACAACACAACAAACAGTAAGATATTGTCCGCTTTTGGACCCAGATACTCACAAATTTTCCTTGGAGATTAATAAATAAGTACAAAATCAAATGGTACAAAAATACAAATTCATTGGTTACTGAGAACCAATTACCTTGGCAAAGCATCGTGTAATTACTAATTAGGTTCTCACATTAGAGATCAAAATTTATTGATGGAAGGCATAACATCTAACGTGGAAAAGCTCATTGATATTGTGTCAAGAGTTTGATGAAACAATAGTGAGTCTCATGTTATAAATACACAAATTTTTATGTTCATAGTGGGTTTCTTAATTTTAAAATATTAATCAACTAAAAATTGTTTAATTATATTTTTAATAAATTATTAATAACAAAATATATCCCGCCAATGACCGCGTACAAAGCTGGCACAAGTTAAAAGAATAAAAAGAAACACATACATAGAACATCAAATCTACAAACTCAAGAACAAAAAAAGATAAAGCCACATAGGCGGATTATGCAATTGGCAAAAGGATGGTTGAAGCATGCCAAGCTTGAACATGTCTTGTAGCTAAGAAGTAGGGGTGGTAAATGGTCGGTATCGGTATAACCAGTTACCGTTTGACCCGGTATCGATATACCGGACGGCTGGAAATGGCCACCGATTCATCTTCTTCGCCACTTGTTTAAGATGCCAGCCTTGTGGGTTATTGGGGTGGTGGAAGAAGCCAAGCAAATCTTCCTTGGGCAGGCCAATTACATCAGCATCAATCATACTCCAATTTTTTGGAGGCTCTTTAAAAATGGTCTCTCTCTCTCTACTTATTTACAGAAAGGATTCATCTCCTTTTCAATTGGCTACATTGACAATAGGGTTTAATGCAAAACATTCCTTTACAACAAGCAAATAGAAAAGGTGATACCTGTAGAGGAAAACAATCGAGGGTGATAACTGAGAACATGGGTCGTGGAGCTTCCTTCATACATGATTTTAGGGCTTCATCGTTAATGTAGTGTGAGTAGGAAGAGGTATTTTATTTGCCTGCCTTGGCCTTCGCTTCAGCAGCTGCAGCTTTAACAGCAGACTTGGCTAAAGCAGTGGTCTTTATTGCACTTTTGGGGTTAAGCGCCTTCCTGATTTTCAATGCAGCCCAAGCTACCCCAAAGGCATGCCCTGCAGCACCAAGCCCTTCATTTGTTGCCTGCCCTGCCTCTTCACCATACCTGCAGCAACCAACATCACCAATTTCACTCCCAAACTTTCTACCACTACCCGTTTGCTGATAGGCACGAGCTGTCGAATCAAAAGCACTCTCTATGCTGTATTATGAATCAAAGCTCCTGAAGCATAAAAGTATTTAACCTGTGGGAAACGATATCGGTTGTGACATCAGATGATGTCGACATCACACTCCTTCCAGCTACTTCAACAGCATCAAACACCTTGCCTATTTCAATTCAATGAGAAAAGAGACTGAATCCATGTTCACGAAAAAAAAACCCACATCCATAAACATTTTTGTAAACAGTTCGTTGCATCTAAAACTTACTGAATCCATCCAAAGATGCAAGAACGATTTCACCAGGCAGAAGGCTCAACACTTTCTTGCCCATCATTGAGTTAGCTAGTGTGCTGGTGAAGAGCCCTGTTACTTTAATAACACCAGTGAGCACCCCGTTTGCTACTTTCTCAGTCATTTGCGTCATCCGCTTAACTCTGCAAAATCAAACATTTTCCCACCTTACTCAACAATTCAAACAAACAAACAAACAAAAACCAACATGAACAAATATTCTTCTCCTCCCACCCACCTTCTAATCCTATCCATGGTTTCTGGACTGATCTCTGCGCTAGATTTGGGACTCATCCTCTGCTTCATCGCCTCATTCCCCTTTTTCAACCTGTCCACAGTAACATCACCACACCACAAAATCCCTTTAATTAGTTGCGCTGATCCAGTTGCAATCAGCCTCGCAGCGCTGCTGCTATAATCTTCAACATTGGGCGCCAATGTCGTCCAGTAAGCCGCACAATTCCCTTCCATCATGGCTTTGTTCTTCTCCGACTCCAATTCCTTCGGCGAAATCTCCTTTGCCATCGAATCATCCAGCAATGCCTCCCCTGACATTTTCTTCGCATTCTCCGAAACACTTTGAATGGAAAAACAACAGTAGGTCTTGAATATCTCATCCAGCTCCTTCAATATCCCTTCCTGCCCTTTTGAAGCAATCGTCAATCCGTAATTCAGAATCTCTTCTTCGTGTTCTTTCTTATCGGTTTTCCTTTGATTCTTCGTCGTCTTCTTCTTAGAGTCCTCATCGTCGCTCGAATCAGAGTTCTGCTCTTGGGGCAAGCAAAGAGAGAAGAAGTAATGCGAATCGTCAAGCTTCACAGCGGCTCCTTCTTTCCCCAATGGCCATTGAATCTCGTCCCCAACTCGAGCTAGAACCGCAACGATGTTGTCGCCCTGACGGAGGAGAATGACGGTGAGATCGCCCGAGGCAAGCTCAACGCTGTAGGTTTTGTCGACAAGATTGAGAATGGCACCGGGGACTCTGATTAGCAATTCCTCCGACGCTGAAGGCGGAGCAGAGGGGGAATAAGGCTTAGCGTCAGCTTTAGGCTTTTTGCCAAATTGTTCCGGTAAGAGATTTTCGACGAGGTCCCGATTGTCGATAGTGGGATATAGATTGGGTGACGAGGAGGAAGAAGGATTGTGATTATTGCTATTCGCTTCCGGATTCGATTGTAAAACTTCTGGGTATAGAGGATTTTTAATTTCGTAATTTGGGTTCAGAGCCGCCATTGAAGGATAGAGGAATAGAGGAAATGTCCGTCGAGGGAGAAACTTTGCGGGAAGGAAGAACGGGAAATTGTGGAAATATTTTGGTGGAGTGAAATCCGAATTGACTGTTTGGATGGGACAAATCAGAATTCGCATTTATCATCCCAAATATAGAGGGAAAAATCCCAAGTTACAAATGTTTTTAAAAAAAATTCTCAAAATACACACGTTATGAAAATAATTCTCAATCTACGCATGTTTGGGCCATCACCGCTGTCGACGAAGACAGTGATTGCATCACCGCTGTCGACCAAGACAGTGATTGCATCACTGCAGTACACGGCCGCGGTGAAGGCCTGACCTGCGTCGAAACTTTAAACAAACGTAACTTTGTGCTCGGTTATCCGATCGTAGCGAAATTTTTTTTTATTCCGCATAATTTTTCGAGATCTTGCAAGCCGCAAATTGCTGTAGGCGGTTTCGTCTCGAAAATATGTCGTTTGCTACCCCGAACGAGCCTTTTTCGATTTCGTCAAACTTTGAACGACTATAACTTTGTGCTCCACAATCCGAAAATCATGAATTTTTTTTGATTTCGCATAACTTTTTAAGGACTACAATTTTTATTAGGAGAGAATTTTCAAAAAATGAATTATTTATGGATATAAGGGGTTTTGGGAATAGCTTTACCTTCCTTTTCAGGAATCCAAGTACATTCCGAAAATATGTCTATGATAAAAATTGTAGTCCTTAAAAAGTTATGCGAAATCAAAAAAAAATTCATGATTTTCAGATTGTGGAGCACAAAATTATGGTCGTTCAAAGTTTGACGAAATCGAAAAAAGGCTCTCCGGGGTAGCAAACGACATATTTTCGAGACGAAAGCGGGACCAAACTGCCTACGGCAATTTGCGGCTTGCAAGATCTCAAAAATTATGCGGAATCAAAAAAAATTTCGCTACGATCGGATAACCGAGCACAAAGTTACGTTTGTTTAAAGTTTCGACGCAGGTCAGGCCTTCACCGCGACCGTGTACTGCAGTGATGCAATCACTGTCTTCGTCGACATCGGTGATGCAATCACTGTCTTCGTCGACAGCGGTGATGGCCCAAACATGCGTAGATTGAGAATTATTTTCATAACGTGTGTATTTTGAGAATTTTTTTTAAAACATGTGTAACTTGGGATTTTTTCCAATATAGGGGGTTAATTTATGCTTTTTATAGAAAATATAGGACGTTAATAATTGTTTCCCAAAAATTCTGAAATTTATTTAAATGTTTCCATTACCCTTTGTCTAATTTTTTATTTATTTATTTATGGGCGATTCCTGCAAGCTTTATAAGCTAATATTGGGGGAGGATCTATAACTCGTGCAGAACTGGTAGGAATAGCTTATGGACTACGTATAGCTTGGGAGGCGGGTTGTTCGAAGGTGGTGATGCAAAGTGACTCTGCGACAATTATTTATCTCATACAGTCGGAGCCAGCATGCCACCCTCATTTTTTCATGGTGTCCTCGATCCGCAGGTGGTTGGTGAGGGAGTGGGAAGTTTAGATTACACATGTGTTTCGCGAGATTAATTTTGTTGCTGATTATCTGACGTTGGTTAGTCATTGCTTGCCTCTTAGGATATTTGTTGTCGATATGCCTAGTCTGACTTTGCGGTATTGGTTCTTCTTTGACACTATTGGGGCTTGTACCCTTCTCTTGGTTAATGCTTAAGAGTTAGAGCACCCCCTTGCATTCTGTTTTCCACCCAAAAAAATACATTAAAAACCTTTTCATCCAAGAAAACACAACTATACCAAACAAAAAAAACAAATTAAAATTAGCAGGAAAAACATAAATTGGAAAAAAATATAAACATTGAAGAAAAACTAACTTTTCTAGAAAATTGGCCGGGATGGGTTGAAAATCCGGCCCTACCATGGTCGGAATAGGTTAAAAATTCATATGGACAATGGTAGCAATAGGTTCCCAGTATGTCTCTATCATGGCGCAAATGGATTTTCTACCCATCCCAACTAGAGGTGGCAAATGAATTGGATTAATGGATTAGTAGATCCATAGATTGGATCAAATGGATTGGTGGATAAATAGATTGGATCATGGATCAAGGTGACATCTAAAAATTGAATCAATATGTGTTTTTGAAAAGTTTAGGTACTAAAATGGCATAGTAAAATATTTTAGGTACCAAAAAGTAATTTTCCAATGATATTTTCCGTCAAAAATAAATTTTAGGTACCAAATTGTAAAGTATATAAAATGTAGGTACTAAATTGTAATTTGCCAACAATCAATGAATCCACTAATCCAATTGAATTTGGATAAATGGATAGAATTTGAATGGATTTGAGATATTTAAGTGAATGGATTTGATTAAATTAGTGGATTAGATACAAAATTGTCACTACTAATTCTAACTATGGTTGGATCTGGATTTCAACCACAGTTAGTAAATACTCCGTTTGATACATGTATATGTACCCTTACGTATTTTATCCATTTAAAATTCCATATTCGTATCATTGTCAAGCCGTTTCAATTTTTTCCGTTCCTTTGGTGGCTCCCATACTAAATGCGTACAAAAACCGTATAATACGTTTAATATCTGTATTTAATTAATTAAATTGTTAAATTTACTATTATTTATTTATTTTTAAAATAATTAATTTTACATATTTATGAATATTTCGTGCTACTAAACATAACATTTACTTAGAGATGACATAAAATACCCGTACGTATTTTATACATAACTTTCCCGTACCGTATTTTACTAACTAATTTCCAACCCATCTCTGCCAAATTTTAGAGTGGTCCCTGGCAATGCAAGAACAATCCGATTTTTGTGCGAAAGCGGACATTGGAAATTCAACCCATCAAGATGAGTCTTAGCTTGAAGTTCTTCCTATTTGGGTTCGAATTTGTGGTTTGCCATTGGAGTACCTAATTGTTTATGGTTTGAATAGGGTTGTGAGCTTGATTGACACCCAATTGTAGATGGATCGAGCCAAGAGGGTTGGGGTTCACATAGGTGCTGCTAAACTATGAATTGAGATTGCGGCAGTTTCATCATTTCCAACTAAGCTTCGTATCAGGCCTGAAGGAGGTGCTACTATGACATTGTCTGTCGAGTATCTCAGTATATGCTAGTTTGCTGCACTTAATGTGGTCAGTTTGGTCATGAAGTTGGGGAGGGAGCTGAATGTAAGGTAGTGGAGGTGCAGGTGAATAGTCTAGTTACAGCTGAAGTTACTCAGGGTATTGCGAAGCAAGCAAATTGGGCTTCTAAAAGCAGGGATTCTTCCCCATCTTTGAGTAGATTTTCTCACAAGCACCAAACTTCAATTCAGGATGGAGGTATGGTTGTTCCTTGGAGCTTAATATCCCGCAAGGGGCAGCTAGTGTTAGAATTAACATAACATATGAAATTCCCTGGAAACCATCTTGTTAGATTATCAAAGGTGTAATAGAAATACCTGGATTCATGTTGTAGAGATCATCTTGATCTTGATGCGGAAATCTAACGTTGGAAGATAATTCTGAGAGTACGACCCGGGAGGTTCTGTAGTCTTCCTCAACCAAGCCGCCTCAGTTCCTCTACGGGAATCCTCTAATCTTCCTGATGGGGCGAAGAAGAGAGTATTTGGTCTTGGTGTATTGGGGACCACAACCTCAAGAGTTCCTTATATACTAATTCTTCTTGGGCTCCCATAACACCCAAGGAGAATCGCTATGTGGGTTTCCACCCATTTAGGCCCATATCAATGCAAAACATCTTTGGGCTCCTGATTTGGATCACTTTCAATTAGCCCACATAACCAAATAGCTCATATAATTGTAAAATATGTGGCCCATTACATTATAGGAAATAGAATTTCCTAACAATCCCCCACTTGGGCTGCATATTTTTCTTGAAACAATTATATCACAAAATTCTTTAGGCACGCAACTGTATGCTCTTTGTACTTAGACATCTCCTAAAACAATATGGTCCACCTCATGTATCAATTATGGAACCAACGCGGCTTTAATCACGATATGATAATGACTAAACCACCATGATCACCATACCAATACACTCAATGACATAGATCAAATATGGATGAGTGGCATGAAAATTACATGCAATGTGATCTTGAACATGCCTATTTTCAACTGGTCCTACTTTAGTCCTTAGTGAGATCAACTGAAATTCCTTCACAATGTGACCACTGTATAACTGAAGACACTTTAAATTCCAAAATAGACTCTAGAAAACCATCACTTTATTCTGCAGAATTGATTTAGTCATAATCTATTGAACTACTTAAATGACTCCCACTAAACCAAGGTACCATCCGGAATAACACTCATGCGAGCAGTATGCTCATGAAAATCTTTATGTGCAAACCATTGGCTAATGGATAAGCTAGCATTAGTCATTTTCTTAATGTTCAATAGAAACTTGTCTATTTTGAACTTTATCTTTAACCACCGGGAGCTTGATGTCAATATTTGACTTCTGAAATCCGTGGTAATGATAGTGTATCACTATCAAATTATTGTCCGGTTGACCTTTAATGACTTACGAAAGTCATTCTAGTGACAAAAATTTTGCAACCATAATTGGAAGTCTCAAGATATGCTTTGAACTCTATCCAACACTGAAGGGTAACCTAATGTAGAGTTTGTGTTACCTTGACATCATGTAACATCAGAGTCAGAGTACTTGATGATCTCTAAATTATCTGATCTCTAACAAATTTGCATGAATTCTTTTATCAACTTTAGTAAACGCGTTACACGTTTGAATCCTTCTAGTGTTTCATGCATAGATCAATCAAATATTTGCCAAAGACTCTTACTAGAAATGCTTTATTGGTATGAGAATAAACTAAAGTATACATTAGATCTTTAATGCAAATATGCATTAAGGAGATTTTGTATCTTAATTTCTTATATATAATTGGGGCACTAATTGAGACAAAAACTGTCTCCCTTAGTTACAACACATCTCCTGGTTTACTAATTTATTCTACTTGCACCTTAAGTAGAACAACCATGATGTATAAAACAGGAAAATGAATTTACTCCCACTGAACTTAAGATATACACAACCATCTCCAACATTAGTCTCTAAATCTGAATGAGCTTATAACATGATAAAAATTATGATATCAATAATGAGATGCTTATATGAGCCACCATTGCCATTATATTCCTTAAAGAGTCTTTCAAATATACCAGAGAGAAAGTCTCTTTGACTCAACACTTCCCTTATGAGTAAAGCCTTTAGTGGCCAACATGCCTTATATCTCTCGTTGACTTCACCACATGGCATCAATCCACTTTTCATAACTGTTCATGACTTGACTAAAAATTGGATCATTAGTCAACCTGATGTCATGTATATATTCTTTGAAGAACAACGATATTGTTAGCTAGAATCGTCCATCTTCTACTTTGTGGATATACGTAATGGCACTTCTTGACTGTGTTGAATTTGTGCAGTAACTAGATTCCTTATGTTTCCTCCCCCAAAACTCAACATACTCAAGAAATCTCACATTTCTCATTTACAAAACTTCTTGATGTGGGATTATAAAATTTGTAGCCTTGAGAACTTTTGAGTAACCAACAAAGTATAAGTTAATTCTTTTGTCCATTATACCTTCTTGTACCTTACAAGGTATTTCCTAAGTTGGACAACCCTAAATGTGCAAGGTCCTTATTGCACATATTGGTTACATTAACTACCTTCTGGATACTCAATTTAAGGATGTACATTGTAAACTTTATGGTTTTTATCCAAATGGAGTCTAGTAAGTAGAAATACTCCTCACCATGTCTTTAAGAGTTCAACGAAATCATAACATCCTTAACTCTTTATTTGTTCCTTTACTGAGAATTTGAGGTTTAGTAATTGAGTTCAGTCTTATCTCGTATCTTCCCTCCTCTTCTTTTGTGAGTAACTCACCTAAAACTTCATGGAGGAAGATAAATTAAACTAAGTGTTGAGTATGTCTTTTGACAACTCCAACTTTAGTCACTTGATTTTAATGCAAAATAAGACACCTCCAAAATATAATACACTTGTACATTTTGCCTTTACACTTTATGGATTAAATTACCCAAATAGGCAGCTTACCCCGGATCCTTTTATGTTTTGGCAAAATACTGTATTATTACTTCAATGAACCTCAGAGGCATCTCAGTATAAAGCCTCATAATTATTCCTCGAATAGAGCACTTTTTTTTTTGAAAGATAGAATAGAGCACTTAATGATCATCATGCACACTGAGTTGGATATATCTCTATTAGCTATTATTAAATCTCATTGATATTTTCCGAAGTAGAATAGGGATTGTTCCACATAAAAGCGCAAGATCAATGCCTATATATCGAAAATAATTGTCTTGAAATTACTTTAAATTCTTTAGATTCGTCCCATTTAACAGAAGAGTTAACTTTAATTTCGACATAAATATTTAAAACAAAGCATGAAAACTATATTGAGATAAAAGAAAACACACATCAAAACATTTAATTAAACAAGACAATAAAATAATTCAATTCTGAGGACCCATCATAAGATACCAAATGCAACATTAATTCTTAGTCTTTGGACAAAGAAATTAACTGCGAGCGGTACTCTTAATACAATGATTAAATACTGATAATAAGTTCTGTCAAACAACAATCTATCTTTGAACCGACTGTTATTCACATGAATAATAACTTTATAATCATCACGTATTTACCATTAAGGTGCTTGATCATTTGGTCAGATAATGTCGTCCTTTGGGTCGAGCACTACCCACATAAATAATCTTACACGTACATCCATGTATTCTAAGTTAAATAATTTTTTGCAAGTATAGGTTACTTTGGAAACATACTTCTAAAATTAATTTAATTAAAATACGGGACAATTCTCTCATAATCACAAAAAACTGAATAAGTGATTAATTACCCTTAAGAGAGTATCACATTAATAATTTTAAATAAAGGTTTTGCTCCATCTTAAGAAACCATGCACTCCATTAATATTTTATCTTCGGACAAAAAATTTACTTGTAAGTGATGTCTTATGACGCATTAATTAAATGGGTAAATTGCAAGATTGGTCACTGAGATTATAAAAAACGTTCATATTTAGTCACTACAAATATTTAATTCCATTAGTGGTCACCAAAATTAGTTTGATAGTTCATGTTTGGTCACTCTCCGTTACCTTTCGTTAACACCGTCAGTTATTTGCTGACATGTCTAACAGAAATGCTTAGTCACACAACTTTAACAATAAAATAATATAAAACTGAACTGCCACGTCAGAAGCCCACCACGTCAACTCATTTAACTGATGCAACCCAATTCTGCCCCCTGAACCGACGCCTCTTATTTACCCCTTCCTCATCTCGGCGGCTATCCCGCGACCATCTTCACCACCCTGCCCCCTCTTTCCACCCCAGCCGCCACCAGTCCACCACCTCCTCCACCGCAGCTATTCCTCCACCCCTTACAAAGTTGAAAGTGCAAGACAACAATCCCAATCAAGAAAATTTGTCCATTCAAAATCAGCCCATCCAAACCTCACTAAATACCCAACATCAATTACACGAATAGAGCATCCAAACCAAAAATGGATAAAACCCAGGAAATTGAAAAAGGGAAACTGAGACTAATTAATAGGAAGTTTCCTCCAACCCTTCCTTTGCTAGTGGCGTCGCCGCCTCTATCCTCCTTATGTTTCCCGTCCTTGGAAGGCTTAGCAACGGCGGTGTTGCCATTGGAAACTGGACCAGGCCCGGGCTCGTCCAACAGCGTTCGGATCTCTTGGATAGGGTATGGCGATTGATGATAGGAGTTGGGGAGTGGAATCGGCGAGGAGGGAAGAATCGGGAGCCGAGCAGACCACGATTGGGGATACGTTTGAGGATCTTCTTCTATCGATTCACCAGTGGTGGTGGTGGTGATGGATTTTGCGGCATAGTTGGACTCCGACGAGTGAAGGTCATCATCTTTCTAAGGTCTTCTTCTCCGATTGGAATGGTGGCAGTGAGGGGGAGCTTAGAGAGGGATTTGGACTAGGATGAGGCTGATATTGTATTGGACGGAGTCGGGGAATGGTCGGTGACCTCGTGGCAGGCGGTGTTGAGGGCGAGCTAGGAGAAGGATTTGGGTTTGGAGGAGGAGCTAGAGGTGGCGACAATGTTGAACTTGGAGGAGGAGCTAGCGACGGTGAGTTATTAGGGTTTTTTGGTCGGGTCAAATAAAGGAAGAAGATGACGGGTTGGGTCACTGGTTGGGGTGGGTATATCATGTGGCGGGTCTGATTGTATGGGTCGGGTTTCATTTTTTTATAATTTAAATGGGATGAATCAGCACTTCTGTTAGCCACGTCAGCAAAATATAGACGGAGGCTAACGGAAGGTAACGGAGAGTGACCAAACATGAACTATCAAAATAATATTAGTGACCACTAAGGGAATTAAATATTTGTAGTGACTAAACATGAACATTTTTTGTAATCTCAGTGACCAACCATGCAATAAACCCTTAATTAAATGTTGATGACAAGAACATGCGAAACAGTAAATCTACCTTTGGCTGATTTAAAATTCACACGTGAACCGAATAATCACCACACATTTATCACTATATGTGCACATACGATTTTCTTAAATATTCACCTACCTTTCGGCCAGTAATTAAATATAGGGTAAATAAAATTTAATATCCAAACCTTTTATTTTAAACAATATAATAGCCAAACCTTTTCGAAAACAATCTAATATCCAAATCGTCAACTTTCTGTCTGTTTGACCGTTAGTTGACACTTCAAAAAAGTTCGAAGTACGACACTTCATCAATAACCATCAATATCTTCTCTGAAAAACCACCATCATATCGTAGTTCCAAACCCGAGAAGTCCATGACTCCACCATGATGGTATAGAATATCTAAATATTCAGTCATCTGAAATGCCAAAACAAGAAACAAAGTTGTATTGTGACAATTTCCCCTAAACAAAGCTTTTTTGAAGTGTCAACTAACGGTCAAACGAACGGAAAGTTGACGATTTGGATATTAGATTGTTTTCGAAAAGGTTTGGCTATTATATTGTTTAAAATGAAAGGTTTGGATATTAAATTGTATTTACCCTTAAATATATAGTTCATAGGCACAAAAATATAAACCTTTACTTTATAGGGATTTAAAATTGTCAACCAATCCCAAAATTTGGTTTATAGGGATTTAAAATAGTCCATTTGTAATTGTTATCTTTCAGTTGATTGTATTGATCCGTCATGAAAGGTTTCAATACAACAATAATTATTGTTATGTTGCTGAAGGCTACGGAGTTAAATTATATATAGGAGTTGTTTGGAAGTTATGATTGTTAAATGGATGTATTGTTGTGAATACATGTATAATATTGTACATGTATTGACGAATTTGATGCATTGTAGAATACAACGTTTGGTATGTCTGATTGTTTATGTCACATCAGCTAAAAGCTGAAACAAAACAATCTCAACTCAACTATCTCAATAATCACAACGAAAAGTTGAGATATAATAATCACTCATTTTGAGTGATAGTTTCTGTCACATCACAGAAACAATCTATGCATTGTTTCTTATAGAAAACAAAAAAACGATGCATTCTAATTTCTAAACAATACATGTGTAGTAACAATCTTAACAAAACAATCGCAACTACCAAACGAACCCATAGTGTCTTCCGATTGAGAGTTACGGAAGAACAAGAAGGATGGATTAATAATTAATTCATCATCAAAAGGTTTACAGTTACGGAATTAAGTCTACGTGTTGTTGTTGATGGTTTTAATTATTATGATTGCATGTTGGTTTCCGAGTTTTGATGAAATATTAGATAATGATGATTTTGTCTTTAATCAACCATTATCTTCCAGGGAAACTTTATGTTTCATTTTTTTACGTTATGCATTCCTTTGGGTTACGAAATGAAGAAAGCTTATGTTTGAAAAGACTTGTTGATTATTGTATAATTAATGACAAGCCTTCTTTATTAATCATTGTGGTGACAAAAGGAATACATAATGATCAAAGATATTATGTCAAACGGTTTGCGGAAGGATTATATTATTAATAGTCCATTAAGGGTTCCCGTTGGCAATGCAGAAGGTATAATTAATTATATGTAACATCAACATGTTGTTGCTTGGTGTACACATAATGATTATATATGATACAAATAAATTAGTTTTGTTTTATTTTGATTTTCCACTTCATGTTACAAAAGTAACATTTGTTGCGAAGAATAATCTAATTAAAAATACTTGGATATATAGTGTGTGGTTGTTTATGCGTTATAGTGTTCAGCTCAAAGGTAGACACTATTCGGCTAAATAACAGCACACCTTAATGATAAATATGTAATGACTATCAAATTTTTTTCCTCATGTGAATAGTAGTTGGTCCAAAGACAAACCATTATTTGACAGGACTTGCCATTAATATTTTATGTTGTGTGATGGTCATTGGGTCATTATTATGAACTCTAATCAAGAGCTTGAATTGGAAAGTGTATGTAAGCAATTGCAATTTGTTGAGGAAAGCTTCTTTCACAAGAAGTCAAGAGTCTAATGGGTTAAGGATAAGGATTCAAATACAAAGTTTTTTCATGCTTCAGTGAATGAAAGGAATCATAGGCAAAGTATTAACAGATTAATTGCTTATGATGGGAAGAGTGAAACTGATGTGATAGAGTTCTAAGAAGGGCTTCTTGGGAAGGTAGACTCAGCAGTGGGAGACTATCCTCTTTCTTTCTCTGAGTAGTTGCTACAACATAAGCTATATGAGGAGGATAAACAGTTACCAGAGAAGAGATCATAAAGTCTTTCAAGGAATGAGAAATGGTAAAGCTCCAGGTCTAGATGGATTCCCTACAAAGTCCTACAATACTTACTAGAATGTAACTAGGAAGGAAGTGGAAGACATTGTTTGGGTTTTCTTCTGCAAAGGAGTGATGCAACAAATAGTGAATTCTGGGGTAAACTCTCTTATCCATAAAGTTAAGAATATTGAAAGAATGAAAGAGTTTAAGACAAGGTGACCCATTGTGTGTGTGGGGGGGAAGGGCTCTTGTGAGATTACTTTTTAGCTGGGAAAAATTTAAGATAGGGTTATTGATAGAAACGCGATTTTCATGTTTTATCATATTTATCATTAATAGTAATTATTAGAATTTTATTAGATACGGTTAGCAGTCATTGAGTCATATTAGGTAATCCGGTCGGCGGTCGTGAAGGGAGAAGAGACCTCGCGATCGCTAGTAGATATCATGGCGGCGATGAAGGCAGGGCAGGCGGAGCCGGGGACCGATGCAATGGAGACGGCCGTGCGATTGCTGGTAGATGTCGCGGCGACCGACGAGGAGGAAGCGGCGTCGATCGACGAGGAGGAGGTGGCAACGAAAGACGGTGGGGAGCTTCCTCGCGTGTCGCCGGAGAGGGAGAAGAAGAACGAGGGCGAGGACGACGACGACGGGACTCTCTACTCGCCGAGGACGAGGAAGAAGAAGAAGAAGAAGTGGAAGCCAAATCTCGGAGTCGGAATCAACCGCCGTCGTGAAGCGCAAGTAGGGAGGAATCCGTCGGATTGCGACGCGAGAAGCCGAAGTCGGCTTTCCGTCGCCTGGTGCGCTGCTCGCCGCCGGGAATGGTGTCGAAGATGCAGCTGACGGCGGGTGACTCGAGTTTGGGAGTTGCCTCTGTTCTTGCAAACCCTAGAGCATTAGCCTTGGGCCACACGTCACCACAGTCATCTTTGGGCAAAAAATATCAGGGGGGTCAGGACAAGGCTTGGGATTAGTTAGGCCGCCGAAATGAAGGAGTCAGAGGCAGTGGGCCTCGGTTACGGGCTGAGTGGAAACCAGGCAAATGTGCTGAAGCTTGAAGTAAAGTGGGCTAAACATGAGATTAGTGATGGGCCGAGAATGAACGAGTCTGATGGGTTTTCAACCGATGGGCTGATTGGAGGACTTGGGCTTCAAAGGAGTCCTTTGGTCATAGCTCTTTTATATGGTGTGGGCTTCAAAGACAAGGAAAATGAATCTGTGGGCCTAGTAAATGAGTTCTCAAGAAAGAATGGACCAGGAGCAATTGGAGAGTCAACTAAAGGAGTTGATGGGCTAACTTCAAAGAAGATTAGCTCTAGTCAATATTTTCAAACTCTGAACAGGGTCAGACCTGCATGGGCCAATGATATGGAGTTCGAAGTCTGTTATGGGTTGATACTCGAGGAGAGATCATTGTTCAAGAAGGAAGCGAAAAGTGGGCCCATGGAAGTGAAGTTCGAAGAGTTGGGTCATCACAGAAAGGTTGATGCAAGAAGCCCAAGTCAAGAGGTGGAACATGATTGGAAGAAAAGGAAGCGTAAGAATTGGAGAATCCAATGTGAAAGATATGAGAAGATGTGGGTAGAGTCGGTCAACCTTGAGGGCAAGGTTGGTCTCAAGGGGGAGGAGATGATAGAAACACGATTTTCGTGTTTTAACATATTTATCATTAATAGTAAATATTAGGATTTTGTTAGATATGGTTAGTAGTCATTGAGTCATATTAGGATAGTCTATTAGGTTTTTCCGGTCTTTAGCTATAAATATGTATTTTGGGTCTTTTGTTCGATTAAGCAGAAATAGTAAAGAATTATCTTCCCAAACCCTAAGCTCTCCCTACCTCCTAATTTCTCTTCTCCCCTAGTCCAAGGCTTTGGCCGATTCTTTATTTTGTTCTTCCTCTCCTAATTCTAATCTCATCCCTAATTCTGTTCGTACAAACCCTAATCCCCAAATATCAAAGTCGATAGAAACCCTGTTTCTATCAGTTACCAATTGTCCCCTTATATATTTAGTGTTTCGATGAAAGTTTTCTCTTGTATGCTTACTAGAGCTGTTAGATAGTGTCAAATCATTTTCCATCCACTTTGCAAAGCATTAGGGGATCACTCACCTATACTTTGTAGACAATTACTTCTATTCTCTACTGGATGTGTGAGGGGAGTAGCAAGGGTAAGGAGGTTGTTGGATCAGTTTTATTCAGTCTCTAGGCTTCAATGTAATATGCAGAAGTGTAGTATGTATTGTGATGATATATCAGTACCAAAACATGAAGGTCCTATACTTTGTAGACAATTACTTGTATTCTCTACTGGTTGTGTGAGGGGAGTATCAAGGGTAAGGAGGTTGTTGGATCAGTTTTATTCAGTCTCTAGGCTTCAATGTAATATGCAGCCGTGTAGTATGTATTGTGATGATATATAAGTACCAGAACATGAATATATTTTAAGGGAGACAGGTTTTCCTCTTGGCCATCTACCTGTGAGATATTTAGGAGTTCCTTTAATCCTAGGCAAAGCTGAGTGCTCTTGACTATTAAATTCTGTTGGAAAATATTATAGTGAGATCTAGAAGCTGGCAAGCAAGGTTTCTTAGTTATTCTAAGAGAAGTAGAAATGATTTGCAACAGGTTTTGTGGGGTGTGGGTGCTGATGGAATTAGGAAAAGAGCACTTATTGAATCAGCATATGTTGCACAATCTAAACGGGAAGGGGGCCGGAAATCAGGGAGTTCAAAACATGGAATTAGCGTGTGTCATTAGGCATCTCTGGAGTATTGATGACACACGAAACATACTATTTGACACCCCCATATTAATGATCAAAAGTGCATTAGTTTCCTATATTTAGTGTCATAATACTTTCATTTCCTATGTGAATGCTCAAAGTGAGTTTAGGACTAGTTTTGTTATCAAATTACGCTTTTGGTAGTGTTTTGTGCATAATCAGGCCAAAGTAGGCCAATAGACCACTTAGGAACTTGAGAGACGTCAAGGCCCAGCTGATGGAGAAAGATTAAAAGGAAGAAACATGGGCTCAGAAATGGTGCCCTAATCAGTGGCCCAAGTTGAGAATCGGCATCGTGGCTTCCAATTTTGGAAAGACATCAACTTCGTCCAAAAGTAGTAACTTAATTGAAGGACTCTTCTGATTGGTCGGATGACAAAGGAAGGTCAAGTTTCTCTCCCAGGAAACCTTAATTTCAAGCCTATATAAAGGTCTCAAGGGTTTAGAATTCAGTAGCTAGTGATAGGAGGCATTAAGGGTCATTACTCTACCGACATGGTAACTCTCCCGACTTAGAGTGACACATGTATCGAGGAGGAATCAGTTGTAGCATCAGTGTCCCTAAGCCCAATTTTTATGTTTCAGATGCCGATTCTAGAGGTTCTCTAGGAGTTTTGTTTCAAATGATGACTCCTTACTCACGTTACACCAAATAAAACCCCGACTATAGCCTAAGTATAAACTCTAGTAAGGTGCAGTATAGGGCAAGCATTTTAAAATGTCAACCCGGGACGATCCATGTACTCATAGTTCAACCGTTTAAAACGATATCTAGCGATCGCGTTTTAGTGAAACTAAGAGCTACTATTTAAAGCAAGCAAGAATTCAAATTGTTGTAGATTCTATATGAGAAAACTTCACCCGTGTTTGCTCCCCCTAGCTATATATTAAGATCAACCGAATAGAATGCAAATGTGTATAAATGTGTTCATAAAACTTAATGAGGGTGAAACTAGGGAAGAAACCACTCTCTTAGATGATAGGCCAAGGAATAACAAATTAAGCTAAGGAACTAGCTCCCTTGACCAATCAACTAAGGGTTGCATAAGATACTCCCTCGGAATTTAACCTGGATGGCTAAATAACAACCAAATCAAAGTGCTAAATCGAAGTTTGAGGCTTGCCCTAAATTTCCCTAGATGGGTGACTCAAATGGCCAAGAAATCCAGCTTCTCAAAGCCTCTAGCAAAAAGGGCTTCCCTTCACCTAGGTCAATTTGGCTGGGTTATGAGAAATGCAGAACACAACTCAAGAATTCTGAAAAGACCTCAATATTTGCATTAACACAAATCCATACACATAGAATTCAATTCGTACAATCTGTCACACGTCTAAAGCTAGGGTTCACAATACCCAAGTGAAAAAGAGCACTACTTCATAGCTAAACTAGGGATTACAACAAATAGAAGAGGAAGAATCATGATGTGGTGTTTGACTTCCTTCCTTGGTGTTGGAATCACCCTTGGAAGAAGAAAATCCCCAATCCTCAAGCTTGGAGCAAACCCTAGACCTCTTCTTCTCTCTTGGTTCATCAGTTTCTCACTCTAAAAGAAGAAGAAGAAGAAGAAGAAGAAGAAGACAATCTCACACTAGGCTCTCCCTTCAAGTTTCAGCTCCATCCTCCTTTTATACCCAGTCCGCATACACATCACGGTCAAATATCACAGGCGTGAACAGGAAGATCGGACCGTGAACTCAGATAAAAGCGCACCATTTCATTTATGACATTCACAGTCTGGATGGGATTATCACGGTCTGGTACCATGATAAATTTTAGGCCTGCGAGGCATAAAAACTCTTCTGGACGCTAGGCATATCACGGTCTTGCCCTCATCTTCACAGTCGGCTGACTGCGATAATGTTGCTCTAACTGTGATCTTCCTCTTTTTGCCCCCTTCGATATGCTTTCACACTCTTTCGTTCAACTTTCGCTTCCAAGGCTAATCTCACCTTCTTGAACCTAAAACATGTTGGAAACATGCACAACCTAGCTTAAAATTGGACCACAAGTGATATAAAAGTCTCAAACACCACAAGAACATGGGGTGAAAACATGTGCAATTTGACCCTAATCACTCCCCTACACTTGGATGTTTGTTTGTCCCCAAGCAAACCAATCTCAAACCAAGTAATATCTCAACCTAAAAACAATGACTTTGGGACATATCAAAGGGTTCAAAGCTGATGAATCTCAATGGCTATTGGGCATCAACACATGGACAATCACAAGCAATATCGGCAACCACCACAAATGACATTCCAATGCATTAAGAACGTGCAAACGAAAAGTTCTCACCATGTTCACAAACCAACACATGACTTGAGAAAACTACTCAAAAACCACAACTATCCATGCATAGATATCAAACCCTAGGAATCAATGAATGATCGAGCTAGGTCCTTACCGGGATGTATGATATGAACATGAAAATGTGAATGAATCACTCACTCTCGACCAGTGGGGTCAGGACCATTTGATGCAAAAGATGTGCATAATCAACAGTCAACCCTATTGTCTCTTCACCATGATGGTAACCTCTAAATGTTAGAGCTCACAAAATGGTTGTCGTGGCTAGCTTTTCTGGAGATCTTAAACATGGGTTCAGATTACTGGATAGGTATTGGACATGATGAAAAGGCTTTTTGGGTGGTGGCAAACATAGCATGAGGTTTCACATCTTCAACCTACAACCAACAAAAGGTTCTATGGTTTTGACTATAACATTTTCCTACAAGCAATGGCCACTAGCATGGGCCAAAAACCACACTTCCTCAATTTTAAATCACAAACCAATCATGAACGACATTCAAGCGCACTTTCTCGGCTACACATGTTATCCACTCTTCAAGCATAGTAGTGAAGGAGGTCAACAACAAAGTAGGTGTTTGCTTGGATGCTAAGAAACACATTTCTTGAGAATACACATCAACTTTGTGGCAACTCACTATTTTTTATTTACCCCTTCTTTTACCTCTTTTTTACTTATTTTTCTTCCTTTCCTTTTTCTTTTTTATCCGAGGGGGTACTAGGGAGATAAACACATGCCACATTTTGGATGTATCGAACAATGACTATTAAAAACTTCCTCCAACACTAACTTTTCATTCTTAGCAGGAAACCATGCAAAAATCACTAATGTAGAACCTCAATGGAACTCAAGTAATGGGAGCTCCAAGACACAAGGATGACTCACAACGGTTTAGACACAAAGAAAACTAAGGGACGCTCTATCAATCTCAATTAAGCTCAAGTAGCAAAAGCTCCTAAAATGAGAACGACCCTAAGTCACACAACTCAAAAGGGGGTTGATAAATGCTGTTCCGAGCATTTTTTGTTTGTTTTATGTTTCGATGATGCTATTTAGAGCATCCTGATCGCCATGTTGCTATTCGGAGCATGTAGTTTTGTTTCTGTTTTGATGATGCTATTCAGAGCATCTTGATTGCCAAGTTGCTATTCGGAGCACGTGGTTCCGTTTCTGTGACAACAAAATTTCCAGGTCACTGCTCTTTCTTGTGGAGTATCTTCCTTCTTGATCGTCACTTGGTTTTTCCGCTTCCTTCTGTGCGAACTTGTGGCGAGTGATCAGTTATTTTGTTGGACACTTGGTTCGACGGACTAAACAACTTTGGCAAGAACTTTTGTTATCTCCAGCTTATCACCATCGACGTTTCACGAGGCATTGGACATGGTCTTCATCGACATATTTGGCGGAGCAGCTATGTTTTCATTGTTTTTTTTTGTCATATTAATTTGTTCGTAGTAATTTGTGTCGGTTTTGTTTCGGTTTTCAAATTGTTGGTAAGTAATTACTGTAACACCTTAGGCGAATCCCACATCGACAAAGCACGAGAGAGATCCATGGTTTATAACTAAAAAACCGGCCTTAACTGACAAGACGCATTTTGGGGTGAAATGGAGGAGTTCTCCGAAGTTAAACATGCTCAGTGTGGAGTACAACAAGGATTGGTGACCTTATGGAAAGTCACCTTGAATTGCACCCCAAATCGAAAACCGTGAGGGTCGAGGCCCAAAGCGGACAATATCTTCGCCGGGAAACGGTTCAGGATGTTACAATTACAATCAATTTGGGGAGGGTATTAGAATATGTGTAGTACGAGTAGTATTATGTTATACTACGAGTACTGGTATGTAATTGGGCAGAGTCGTATAAATTAAGTAATTTTCGTATATGTGTTAGGATTATTATAGACATCCTTCGTACTCTATATAAACCCTATGTGATTTTAATAATAAGACACAACAGTTTCTACCGTATTCTGATTTCCTAACAGCAATTCATACCAGATGCAGCGTATGCTTTTAAAATGAGGAATCTATTGATCGCACTGTCCGATTCATGTTTCGGAGCTGTGCTTCAAGGAGTAAAGTTTTCATCTTTCTACTCGTAAGTAGTAGCTAGGACGACGGTTGGGGAGCTATGTCACTTATTTGTTTCGAGATAAGAGAGACAAAATTGAATCTTACATCATATATATCCAGATGAAACCTTTGGAGTTAGTATGGCGGGTGATGATGATGATCTTCGTCATGACCTTCAACATCATAATCACTATAACTACCATAGGAAGGAACAGTTACATCAGTTTCGTAACCATGATTCTCAAGCTGAGGATCATCATCATCATAGTAAAAATCATGATCATCATCAGACTCGTAACTGTAGAAGTTATCTTCACTCTGCCTGCCAGATGGACGCTGAGAGTGAGAGCCCACAACTACCCGAAGCTCAACGATCTCATGATCGTTATCAGGCGAAGCTCCACTAGCATTCGTTTGAGCCGGTGAACTCAATGCATCATCCAGCTGGTTATGCCACAGTGACGCTTCTGCTAGTGCTAACTGATGTTCCTCCAATCTCCTGCTGCCGCCGCCGTGCCTCTTGCTGTTGGCCTTTTCTGTTCGCTTGCTTGATCCAAAAGATTTCTTCTGCAGTCTCCTGCCGCTGCTTCCTCTGGAACTGGAGGTTTTGATTGTGGCAGTCTCACTCTCGAATTGACTGAAGGGACTCCTCCTTGCTTTTACCCTTCTTTGCCATCCGTGGAGTGATCTCCACACATTCTCTGAAACCACTGTCCTTTTGAACCTTCCACCCATCTGCAACCAGAAGCAGATGATGATGATGCCAGAGTTAAGAGGTCATGAGATGGCAGAGAAAGATGAGAGAGTTGGAAAATAATTATTCAATATGAATATTATTTTTTTCATGTCTTGTTTTATTATTGGAATCACATAAGGTTTAAAATTTAAATAGAGCATAATGATTACTTCTACGATAACTCTAGTACTATAAAAACATATGTTTAACTACTTTAATAAACCTAACTAACATTATGTCCGGTTGGTTTATTCAATGGATGTGGAAATTGGGAACTCAGAGATAGAGGACAAGTGGCTTTTTTCGGTTTGATTTCAGTTTCCAGGGGCTTTATTTTATTTTTTGTTTAACTTAATTGGAGCATTTTGGATTTGGTTCAATTGTTATGCTCGTGACGTCTATTCTCTGTGAATTCGAAAATCTGACTGAATTGTGTTTGATTTTGTGGGCACTTTTTTATAGGAGATGCAAACATGTCAATTGCTCTTGCGGTTAGCTTTTGCTTAATCAAAACAGTTAGTTTCAAAATATAGCTAATTATCTTCGTTTAGGAGTAAAATAGTTACATACCGTTTGGTATAAATGAATTTGATATGTTTTGAGAATTATTTTGAAATGAAACATTTTTGTGTTTGGTATTTAGAAGAATTCATTTTCAATTCTAAATTTTGAAATCTATGGAATTGTAGTAGTTATAGCAATTCTGAGGAATTGAGATGAAATTTCCAAATGAATTCCACAACTATTTACTAATTATAATAGAATGACATAATTATCCTCTTTATTAACTAAATTACTTATATATATGACGTACCAAACACAGAAATTCATTTGACAATGAATTCTACACGACAATGCATTTATTTCTAAAGATTTGAATATGACATACCAAACACAAAATTTCATTTGACAATGAATTCTATACAGTAATTCATTTTACAATGAAATGAATTCTTGATTCATTTGGTACCAAATGGTCGGTAAGAAATTATTAAACCTCTGTTTTTTAAGAAGAGAAAGGGAGGGGAAGGGAAGTGAGGGAGAGAAATTCCAGAACCCAATAACTTTTCCCCCGTTCTCCAAGCTTGCTACAGGACCGGAGGGAAGGAATCAGCGTTGAAAATGTACTGTTTTACCTGACCCTCCAATTTGGGAGGAAAGCCACTTTTTCAAGCATTTTCCTATTTTTCATTTTTTTTTCTTGCGTTTTGTTTTGCTTTCCACTACGTTGGATGGGTAAACGATTTATGGAATTTTATTTTATGGTCACATATGATATTATAAGATTATCTAATATAATTTATTATTTTATCAATTGTATGGTTAATTAACGAATAAAACATTATTATTAACTAATACCCTTTTTTCTCGTGCGTTGCCTATTTTCCTTTTTCGTTTAAGTTGTATTTGTGTAGGGATGTGTGATAGCAGTGAAATAAATGGCAAAAATTGTTAATTTATATTTTATTAGCACATATATTGCATTTAACGTGGATAAATATTAGGAGATGTGATAATTACTAATTCATTGTTTTTAGGGTTGAAGAGATAATCTTCGACTAATTTTGGAGGACGATAATTAAATTAGTGAAGTCCGTGTGTATTATTTTAGATTGCTTACTTAACTACGTAAACTTCTAACATGATATTATGTACACTACCGACTTAGATGACAGTAGACGATTTTTACGGTCCAACTGGCGATACACGAAAGAACAATATTTATGGCTAACTATGATGCTAGACAATTCTACTCTTATTTGTATGATATCTTTGTGTATCATTATATAATGGTGACAAATATTTTTCTCACCGGATCATGGTCAAAACATCTATTTTTGTATTTTAATAATGAACAAAATTAACAAGGAATAATGTATTTGATCCAATTACGTGGAACGTAAATGTGTGTTAAGTTTCAAGTATAACGACATCAGAGTGTTACATTTTTTAAAGAATGGACGTTATCTTGTACTACAAAAGTAATCAAATTTGTATGAAAAATAAAAAAGAGTTAAATGAACAATTTATGTTCCGTTAACAAATAACAAAATTGATCATGATTATGTAGAAATTGGTTATTCATAATATTTATTTTCGCATTTTTTACATATACTTACTATTACATAATCAATAAAACAACATATCTATCACACTTCCCTATATACTTTTTTCCTTTCACTATCTCTTTCACTTTCCCCCATGAAACAACATTTTCTCTCCAATTCCCTTCCCCTCCAATTTTCCTTCCCATCCAAGTTTTCCCTCCCCTCCCCTCCCCTCCTTTTCCTCTCCTACTTCGGAAACAGGGGGTAAGAGTTAAGATTGACTTTTTTCTTTGATTTTGGGAAGACTTTATTGACTGCGGTGACTAAATTTTATGGAGGATGCAACGAGATGATAATTTGAAAATAAAATAATATAATGCTATCTACTATCAACTATATAGCAAGATTTTTCATTATCTAAATAAAATGTAATTATAATATTAGTAGTAAATAATTATGTCTCTAAAATAATATAATGCTATCTACTATCAACTATCAAGCAAGATTTTTCATTATCTAAATAAAATGTAATTATAATATTAGTAGTAAATAATTATGTCTCTAAAATAATATAATGCTATCTACTATCAACTATCAAGCAAGATTTTTCATTATCTAAATAAAATGTAAGTATAATATTAGTAGTAAATAATTATGTCTCTAAAATAAGAAAGTAGGACAATAAAATATAAATTTGAAAGTGAAATTAGCGACAAATGCAAATTCATTAATTAGAAGCAAATAGCATTTGTAGCTAACATCTGTTGCTGAAGAGTTTTTAGTGACAACAGTATCGACCCTACATTGTTATGTGTTGTTGTAGAGTTATCGTGTCGCATAAGTCACTTATTGTGACATACACTTAGCTATTAAAATTCATTTTTCTTGTAGTGAATCTCAACTATTAGGTCTAGTATAGACTTGTACTGACAATTTCATTCAATTAATCTCAACAATGTTTATCAGTCATTGGTTTAAGACACCACAATTATTTTGCAATGAATAATTTTCATAATCTAAAATACTCCATTTTATTGAAGATATCAGTGACTTGTATATTTATGTACATTATCATATCCATTATTTATATAATTTATAATTTATGTTCTGACGGCAAGTTGGAGAGACTATAGAGGGTTATGAACTCAGGTTGCGGATGAGTGGAGACGATCCTCAGCTGGGAAGTTGAAGATTGTTGGGAAATCGAGTGAAATTGGTTTTTTTGTAGGTCTTAGTTAATATGAAACGCAATTTTTAATTTACCCACAAACTGGAGGCTTTTCAATGAGCCAAAGCCCAAAGGTGCGCAAAGATCATTTTATTATTTAATTTACGGGCTTCAAATTAGTAGTTGGTGATTGACGTTGATACCCTTACTATAATCGGGTTTGGATTGGATGGTTCGCGTGGAAAAAATAAAAAATATATATATATATATATATATATGGTGTCTTCTATGATACCTCGGGTGAAATCCGGGGTACCGCATACTTAAGTACGAAAATGTTATCTACACCTTGAATCAGCAGGATTTTTGGGCATTATACTATACCCTAACCCTTAATGAGTGAACCCTAGGTTCTAATTATCTAAATCATAAACTATAATCCCTAAGATGGTGCATTGATTTTTTTGCCTATATTTGGATGAATCATAACCGTAGATTATTGTTTCTAATTAAATTGATCTTGAAGTATAAACTTTAGAGAATTAAGACCTAGATTTTGATCTTTAAGGGTTAGAGTATAGTATCATGTCTGAAAGATCAGTCAATTCAAGTTCTGGATAGCGTTTTCTTACTCCTGGTATGCGGTACCCCGGATTCCACCCTGGGTACCGTAGAACTCCCCATATGTATATATGATGACTTCTATCGTACACCAGACATATATTGGGGTATGTCGTACACCAGCAATCTCCACCGTCCACGTCCATCTCAACAACCAGCATTAATGCGGGTTCTTTTTTTGTAGGATTAAAAAATAAATTACCTCATTTATGCTGACCGTTGAGATGGACGCGGATGGTGAAGATTGTCTGGTGTACGACATACACCAACTTTTGCCTTGTGTACGATAGAACCATCCATATATATATATATATATATATATGTATGTGGGTTGATAATAGCTAACTTATAGGGCAAGAAATAGTTAAACTGAAACCAATAAAGAATAGTAGACTCGGTGTGTACATCACCTGAGTGACTATTATGTATAGTGGGAATGTGATGAAGCTGCACCAGATTTGTGAGACCACCCTGGAATGATTTAATAACATGTGGAGAGGAAATGTTAATCCTTAGACATCTGTTACCAACCTTTACACCCATTTTTGGCATAGTTGAGCCTGTGAGTTTGAGGTGGAAAATGTACCCGGCTACTAGACGGATGATGACGAAGCTCTTACTTGACATGAAACATGAAGTGCCTTTAACTTCCCACTGACATTCAAAAGGGCCAGAGTTAGTTTTGTGATACGAGGAAGAAAGGATTGAAAGCACAAGGCTGAGAATCATACCAAGTACCACAAGAATGTTGCCATCTCCAATGCATTCTGCAGAGAAAGAAGATTCAAGAATGACATTTTCTTTCAAGAGAGTGGACTAGGCAAATATATACTCATGGGCCTCCTTTTGCTTTTTCTGATTTTTATACCTGGAATGAGACCAACTGTATCAACCTAAGAAGCAATTTAGGCTTCCCAAACCAAAACAGCTCATCTCTTAGGTTGAACTTGTGATGCCCTGAGCTCTGGCACGCATCTCTAATTTCAACAGCCAATGCCACCACTATTCGATGAAGCTTCGTGCCAATCAGCAGTACTAGCTTTGGTAGAACCAGCAGTGAGTCGGTGCATAGGAAACTAATATGTGGTGAAAGAAATTTTCATGAGCAAACAAGCTGTCAAATTATATTTGAGGTACTTACAATGACTGGAAGAAAGGAGAGCCAAAAGTATATTTGCGTTCCTGTACAAAAACAAAGCCACAAGCTCTTATGAATGACAAAGCTAACTACTTGGTGCACAAGAATCGAGTTCGAGTAAGTATAACATTATTCACCGTGGAAGTCCAGGAAGATGCAGAATATGGCATACAACCAAAGAGGTAGACTGCAAAAAATAAAAGCAGGAAAACCAAAGATTGTATTTGTTTAGCTGTTAAGGAAGGTTCCCCAAACAGAAGCAAATTGATAGGAAGCATTAGTTTAGTTACCTAATGCCAACAATTTCAGAGAACTCTTCTTCCATGTTTCTCAGCATGTAGTTATGGAAATCATACACCAAAGGTAGTTGGTGTGTCTAATCAATGGCAAACTTACAGTCAAAATTGCTAAGAGCGTGAATTGATGAAAGAGCATAGCAGAACTGCCAAGATGTCAGCAAACATACCGTGATGAACCCTAGACGAAGAGCCATGTAATCAGCATTGGTTATGGAAGTCCAGAATTGGCGACTGAAACAAAGCTGGCAACTTTATCCACATTAGCTCAAAGTTACGGCAACTGCTAACTTTAAAGAGGTCAAGAAGCCTAAAGGTTACCAGCCAAACAAGGGCTTTGTGCTGACTCCATGGATGGGATGCATGGTGAAGAATGAAGGTAGATATTCTTCCCATTTTCCTTTTGTGAGAAGAAGCTTCAAATGAATCTAACCAAAATTGGGTTTTCCCCCAAGAAGGAACCAGAAACAGAAATCCAAGTAATTATTGGATCATCTGAAAATCATCAACTCCAGAAAACACTGGAACTCTACAATAGTATGCCCCCTACCATCAAAACTCTGGAGCGCCAAGGTTTTTGCCCGGTTTTCCCAACTTCTCCAGCTGTAAATCTGCATCAGACCCGGAAACTACTTATTTTTTTTCAACTGGTGATAAATAAAATTGAAATGCCAAGCTTCAAACATTTGTTAACCTTAATCATCGCTAGGGCAATTGCTGCGAAGCTGTAGGAAACGTGGGTCACAGGAAGAACAAACATCAAGCGGTGAAGCTGCTCGAGACTGTCATGTGAAGCGAACGATTCATGGCCCTTGTAGCAAAGGAGGAGGCCAAGAACACACACACACACAAAAAAAAAAAAACAAACTCAAAACCAATTGTAGGTCTGTCTGTATCGATGCATCAGATGGATAAAAATGCAGAAGAGTTGCTTGAAGCCCAAACCACATACTGGTGGACAGTTTCCTTTATTGTAACTGGAATCCATCTCATCCCTAGCAACTGTATTGTTGAAATAATAGTGTGAAACTGAAGCAACCGTGGGCTGAAATGTTGAAGCTGATCTGTTTGGGTCACAGAAGTAGAAGCGGCTGTTCAAATACGAAGATTTCACGCAAATCTTAGCCACGAGAGAGAGCCAATGACCCATGAGCAACGAAATTAGCCCGAAAAGCATCAGCTCTGCAAAGACCGCATTGAAAAAAAAAACATAGATAGAAGAACCCATTTGAGTGAAAACCCAGGTGAAACCGATTCGAACAATTCTAATTGATTACCGTCTTTGATCTTGTATAGAGCTGACAACAGAGCCTTCCTCTTGGTTTTGTGCAGAAACTAACACATGGGGCAGAAAAGATTGCAAGTTTAGGCGAGAAAGAACAATGGGGTGAAGGACATTTCCAGTTTTAAGTGATTTAGCTGTCTGCTACCTGTCCAGAGAGCTTGAGGAGGCCTTGAGAGAAGAAACCGAAAGCAACCATTACAGTGACTACAGTGGCAACAGCCCAAGTAGGGGTTAGAGCCAGCCCCATTTCTCCAGACTCCGCCATCTTCCCTTTGCCCAGCTCGGAAGAGCAAGCTTGTTAAGTCGGAGAACAGTAGCAGTCCTCTGTGTTATACCAACATGGATGCACAAGTCATAAATGCCACTACCAGTTTCCTGCTTGGGTAGTTGGTTCCAAACCCCTTGAATTTATATCAAAATGGGACAGAGATCGAAAATTTCCAAATCCTTGCTTAGCATTTGAAAGGGGGGGAAAACAAGAAACCGTTGCCATGGACGAAATGACCTAGGTGGATTACGTGCTCCATGGATTTTCTCTTATTTCCTTGAACAAGGGAAACTGATTTGTTTTAATTTGATTTGCTATTGGATGTTCCGTCAATGACAGATTTGGGACATGATAATTGACAAGCTGCAAACACCCTGGTCAAGGTGAGAGAAGAAGACCAAATGGACGCGGGGGAAAATGGCACTACGTGATCCCAACTAATTCGACTGGTACCAGCTTCGGGGATCGATTTGATTGCGGGGTAATTAATTGTTGTTGTTGTTGTTGTTGATATATGAAAGGCTTAGTTCTATATTTACTATTCATTAAGAGGTTAAATTGTAAATTGGAAATAACACATAACTCCAATGTCAGTAGTCTATTAGGGTGGATTCCATCTATTCATTTTTTTTTTCTTTTAATTATTTATTACTTATTTTTACCTTTTTAATTTTCTTTTATCCCTAATTTCCTATCTCTTTATTCATAAACCTTATTTCTTTCATTCCTAATTTTCTATCTCTTAATATTATTTTTGGTTTGTTGTGGTGCTCAAATCGATCTATTTGCTCGTATTTGTGTATTTGATTTTACATTTTCGGTCATCTCTCTCGCTCGAGCTAAAATAGGAAAATCACGGAGAAATCTTCTAACATGGTTTATCATTCTTTAAAAAAAAAAATTTGTTGTTGTGTTGAAATCTACTTTTTTGTTCGTATTTGGTTTTGCATTCTTACTTACCTCTTTCTCGCTGATCTATTTGTTCGTATTTTTCTATTTGATTTTACATCGTTAGTCTTTCTATTGCTTGAGCTCAAATAGGAAAATCACGGAGAAACTTCTAACATGGGTTACCATTCTTTAAACATATTTTTTTGTTGTTGTGTTGAAATCGAGCTTTTGTAAGTATTTGGTTTTGCATTTTTACTTATCTCTTTCTCACTCTCCATTTAAATGGTCAAAGTGGCATCGGAACAAACGAAATCAAATGTTAAATTATTCATTTTTTTCCTTCTCTTTCTTATTTTTCATTTCAAATGCAAATTCTCTAGTAAACAGTTGTTATGTGCCAAATATGTAAATTGTCATATGTTAATTTGTAACTTCGTTGGCCAGCGAGTGCATATTACTACGAACGATCATTATACGAGATTGAGTTTAATAGGGTGGCTCATTTCACCACGTTTTGGAGTGTTAATAAATTTTTAGGACAATGACATGTCTACATCTACACTCATAACTCATCACAATCTACACATAATATAAAGGTGAAATGAGAAATGAGGGATCCCATTTCAACTTTCCTGCATCCAGACCAATTATTTGAGGGCTAAATTTAGAAGGCTCCAGTGCGGCTGGTCTGTTGAACACGAAAGTAAAAACATGTTTTGATTTAAACGGGCCCAATCTGTTTTTTGACCCACTAATCGTGCACTCATCGCAGCATAGCCAAAGCTTCCCATTCTACTCGTCGAGTCATCTCCTCCCCCGCGAACCTACTCTACTCATGTACCCAAAGTTCCAACTAAACCCTAATCTCTACAACCTAGGACAGAGATTCTGACTGGAATGCGTAAAGGGATAAACTGACGGATTGTAGCTACCCCCACTATTCTGGTAGCTAATCAAGAAGACCCTGTTTGTTCAGTTGTATGGTGATTCATTTAATTAACACACTCCACTCCATTGACAGCCTCCTCTCCTCAATTGTATTGTGTTCACAAAGATCTGAAGGCAGCAAGTGCAACAGGTGCAGGGGTAACCGATATTATAAAGCATTGTCCAAATTGAATTGAGTCGTTCTCCTTAGAATATGAAGATTTTTGCTTAATTGCTTTGGTCCGTGATGCGGTTATGTTTGAAGGCAGACCAACACAAACAGCAGTACAGCTCCAGAGCTATTCTGCACATCAGGTAGTTGGGGCATTAATTGATAATGATTTGGGATAATGAGTTTGTTATGACTTATGACAAGGTTTATTTGAATGAAGACAAAGTCATGTGTATTTTTTTACCATTCTCACCACTTTATCTTTTAGCACAGGCTGCTATCCAGAGTGTGCATCCTCTTCCCAATCTATGACCACCCATGGATCCACCTAGACTATCACTACACGGAAGTATTGACAACATTGATGTTGATGTTGTTATTGTTATTGTAAAAGATTATATGTGTTTGTCACATCTTCCAATCAATCCAAAAGAAAACAAGATGTAGTAGCATTATTGCTCCACAACGTTCATCAGTTTTATTGTCATTCCCATTTTTCTTGCGAATGATCACTATGTTGGGAAGATAAAACAAACCAGAAGAACATAGATAGTATGTTTTCTTCTTTTTGAGTGTGTTTCATGCCTGTATATTTTTCAAACAGGCTACATTTGTATTCTCACCAACATTTTAGTCTTCATCTCCATTTGAATAATTAAATTTGTATTTCTTTGACTTCCAAATTTTAATATTTCTTCTAATTTCTTTTGCACCTATTAGAGGTTTGCCTACTCCTGGAAATCTCTTATCCAATTCAAATTGAAGTGTTGTCCTCGCATGTCCGGTAGATACAATGAATACTCGGTATATGTTCAGTTTAATTAACTCGAAGTAGGTCTTTCTACAGTCTACTTTGATATCTTAAACACTGAAACAAATTCACGTCACTTATTCCCTATTCCATTAAAAACTAATGACAAGAGACTAATGTAGTGGCAGATCCAGAGGGTGGCCACCCCGGGCCCCGGCCCAGCCCTCCTCTGGACCCACATTAGTGTAGTCCTTATGAATTTTTCGATACTAGATATTCGGCTCAGTGTTATTTTATAATAAGATTGTGTATAAATAGGAAAATAATTCAAATTAACATTTTCAATCATTATTCTATTTAGACTAGAAATTCTAGCCCCAAATATTATTTGTCTAAAAAAACAATGAAATCTAAAAGTCTAAAACGTAAAAGATTAGAAGAAATATGAGGTTTTTTTCCTTGAAAATTTGCTAGAGTAGTTGGAATCTAGGGATGGACACACAATGCACGATTGATTTGTCTAGTGTTCACGCTGCTCGTTTCAACAACTACTACCAGGAGAACTTTTTCAAAAATGAAACATGTGTAAAAACTTATTTGTGCAATAAAATGAGTAATGAATTTCTCGCTGATTGCTCAAGTATTTTATTTGAAACAGGATATACTATTGGTATGGATGTGGACTCCATTATTGTTGCATTCGCTAAATTAAAATACGATAGTGTACAATTTATATTGCAAAAAAAATCATTATATCTATTTACGATTTTAATTTCTTAATGAAATGTGGCCCAGTGCTTTCTGTGTTCTGGACCCGCCGCTGGACTAATGAGATGTTACCCTCATACTATACATGAGCCCATAACATTATTACGTTGATACCAATAATTCAATATTCGGTTCGGGTTATAAGCTAGTTTAATTAATAAAATTTATCATGAAATCCATGACATAAGAGTCGGTTTTTTAACAGAGGTCAGCGTAATTAGTAATTCCCCGTTCATTAGAGGGGTAAAATTGTCATTTTTAGAGCTTAAGGCTTAAACGAAACCTTAATCTCCAACCTAATTATTCTGCTAACTTGAAGATTCGTTAGTATATACTAACTAATGTCCAAAATGTATGAACTAATATCCAAGTTTGCTGAGTATCTAGATAACACATACTAGTATTCAAAACATCACAAACTAGTATCCAGATAGCATATACCAACTAATATCCACAATCAACCAACTAGTATTCAATATGGATACTCTTATGTGTTATCTGGATACTAATTATGTGTTGTTTGGATACTATTCTGTGTTGTTTGGATACTATTCAGGGTAATTAGTAATTCCCCGTTCATTAGAGGGGTAAAATTGTCATTTTTAGAGCTTAAGGCTTAAACGAAACCTTAATCTCCAACCTAATTATTCTGCTAACTTGAAGATTCGTTAGTATATACTAACTAATGTCCAAAATGTATGAACTAATATCCAAGTTTGCTGAGTATCTAGATAACACATACTAGTATTCAAAACATCACAAACTAGTATCCAGATAGCATATACCAACTAATATCCACAATCAACCAACTAGTATTCAATATGGATACTCTTATGTGTTATCTGGATACTAATTATGTGTTGTTTGGATACTATTCTGTGTTGTCTATGTATTAGTTTGTGTTGTCTATGTGTTGTTTGGATACTATTCTGTGTTGTTTGGATACTATTCAGGGTAATTAGTAATTCCCCGTTCATTAGAGGGGTAAAATTGTCATTTTTAGAGCTTAAGGCTTAAACGAAACCTTAATCTCCGACCTAATTATTCTGCTAACTTGAAGATTCGTTAGTATATACTAACTAATGTCCAAAATGTATGAACTAATATCCAAGTTTGCTGAGTATCTAGATAACACATACTAGTATTCAAAACATCACAAACTAGTATCCAGATAGCATATACCAACTAATATCCACAATCAACCAACTAGTATTCAATATGGATACTCTTATGTGTTATCTGGATACTAATTATGTGTTGTTTGGATACTATTCTGTGTTGTCTATGTATTAGTTTGTGAATTTGAAATAATAGTTGATTCATGGTGGATATCAGTTAGCAAACTTTGAATACTAGTATGTACTCTCTAGATACTTTAGTACTTGGATATTAGTTCATATATTTTGCATATAAGTTAATATCTACTAACGAATTTTCAAGTTAGCAGATTAACTTTCCCCTTAATCTCCATTTCAGGTCCTAGCTAGCCACCGCTCAATCGCTCACCCTCTCCTCTTTTTCTCGTTCTCTCAGCCATTCCCTTCTCTTTTCCTTTCTGGGAATGCGAGGAGAAAAGAATAAATAATCCACGATGACAGCGCAGAGGAGGACGTCGATGGCAAATCCGACGGTGGTGGCGACGGAGGTAAATTTTTTGTTTTTGTTTTTGTTTTTTTTTTTTTTTTTGCATGTTGTCTTTAGGTTTGATCCGGTATGGGGATTTTGATGCATGCTATTTCTATGTTATGGTCGAAGGAAGTGAAAGAAAGGGAGTCGCCGGTGACGAAGACGACGGCGGAAGGGTGGTTTCCCTGTGGTAATATTTTTAGGTTTTTCTGATTTTGTTATTCTTTGGATTTCTGGGTTTGGATATCTGATATGCTTTTTGTTTGATATTTTTGGGTTTTGTTTCGGGGGATTGGTGAGGAAATGCGGAGGGAAAAGGGAGTGGCGGACCCAGGATTTTGGTATAGGTGTGTCGGCCAATAAA